CAGTTGTTTTGTAAATGTATATATTTATGAAGCCAGGGTGAATACATGTAAATGTAAATTGTTATGGATATATGCTGAAAATGAAAAGGTCAGTTTCAGATAATGTATTACACGGAGATCAAATCAGAAGCAAAAGTTTGTTTTTGTTTGGGTGATGAATTTGGCTTTCAACTTTCATTATGACTACATGTAGAGCGTATGTAAATGTAGGCCCTAATGTCATGAGTGACTGCCATTTACTTTCATGTTTGACTTGAATAATTGGCACAATGCCTGCAAGCTTTTAATATTTTTACCAAGAACAACTGTCATTTCATTGGACCAAAGGTACGGCAGCGCCAACTTTGTAACGGTAAACTTTTAAACAACTTCTGTAAATTATCGCACCAATTTATTCACACAACAAAATAAAATGTCACAGCATTAATATTAGCAGATTTTGAGTTTGTTTATCATGCATTGTGCATCTACAATATGTACATCCTTCAAAAGAACAGCCTTGTCTGGCTAATATTTAATGCATGAGCTTCTCAAATCAGCCTCTTAAGAAACATGTATTCTGTATAAATGTTTGATGCTGGACTTACCATTAAATTGTTCTAGGATTTCAATCTTCACAAGACAATCCAAGATTATAATTGTGAACAAGCTAATCTGTAGATTCAAGTACACTTTTAAAGTAATGCACACATGGAATAATTTGTTGACCACAAAATGTTACTTTTTTTCTTTTTTAGAAGTACAGTACAAACGGATACAAGCCAAGTTATTAATTAATTTCTTTTTTAATCCAACTCATTTCTATCCATTGGAATAGTTTAGAGGAAATACAAGATTTCGCTACCAAAAGAACAAAAATATGTGGTTTGAAAGGCATGTCAACTGAAACTTGCCGTAAGTTAGAGGCATTTTTGGCTAGGATGCAACCTCAATCCTGCAAAATCCTCCAACTGCCTCAAAGGGTGAGTCAAAAAAAGCGAAACCCAAATGTCTGGACTATTGTTATAGTGAAGTTCTGCATGTAGGCCTAGCACTTTCAAAATCTAGGATATGAAAGCCCAATTCATAAGCTATCTTTTAGTACAAGAATCATTCAAATCACTCATGTGCTTTTTAAGTTACGGAATTTTAAACACAACCACCGTTTAAAAGTTCTGTCCACGGATCAAAAAAGTGTATGTTCTTTCAGCAAAACGAAGACAACTCACACATATCCCTGTGTGATTTGTGTTCGTTTTGGTGAAAGAACCTTTTTGTGATCCGTGGACAGAACTTTAAAACGGTGGTTGTGTTTAAAATTCCGTAACTTGAAAAGTATATGAGTGATTTGAATGATTCTTGTACTAAAAGAACGCTTATGAATCGGGCTTTCATATCCCAGATTTTGAAAGTGTTACATGCAGAACTTCATTAAAACAAAAGTCCCGACATTTGGGTTTTGGTTTTTTTTACTCACCCTGTAGGAAAATAACAATTTAGAAACGGAATCAATTTTTGGGGGGATGAAACTGAAAAATAGCACGGGAATACATCTTTAAACAACCCATTTCTTAAATCTTTCTTTCTGAATATTTATTTTTCATTTTTGTTTCATTGTGTAGGCTATGTTTGTTCGTGCCACATTACGCAACAAACAGTTTTACAGTGACTGAGATAAAATGATACTTTGCATCAGATTGAACAGTTTCAACAGAGGGCGCTCTTTGCTCAATGTGGGCACAGCAGAATTTTTGAAGCCATGGCCTCACACGTAGCAACAGCACCCTACATGCCCTAGGGTATTTGAATAAGGAAATGGCATGGACATTGTAAATTGTTTTTAAAAAGCAAAGAATTGCACTGAATTGAAGTCAAACTACAGTACATGTAAACTGCCCTTAGCTTTAGTTTCATGAATAAGTTTTTGGGTACCGTACATGCACCGTAGGTGAATGTACATTTGCAGTATTATGTATCGTCTTTACAAAAATTTGGCTTACATGTAGTATGAAATCCAATTTTCTTGACTAATTACAGGTATAGTAGAAATGAACAAATAAATCAAGTTCAAATTTTTCGGCATTCGCTCATACCGGTAGATCTATTTAACAATGAAAAATTTCATTTCCAATTCAAGCGTTTTCTTATGTTTCCCCCCTTTAAAAAAAATACCAACTGCATGTGTACATATTGCCTGGAATAAATTTACTTTTTTTTTAATTTTATATTTCCTTACATGTATAATAGCATACCGGTAACATTTCTGTTTGGATAGGTACAGAGAACTGTCAATGCTTTGTCTAGGATTAATAAGGCATCACTCTATTGTGTACATGTACATTTTCAAACATGATACTCAAAAGTCCATGCAGAAAAGGAAATCAAGTAACTATGAAATTTTATGATGATAAGGCATAACTCATACATTTTCAAACATGATACTTAAAAGGTCCATGCACACTGCAGATTAGGCCAACAAAAAAATAACAGTTCTGCTTCCAGTTACACTACCGGTACATTACATGTACCTACCCTATTTTGACAGCCCCTACCCTAATTTTTTGGGGGAAAAAACAAAACAACACACCAATTACTACCTTAGTTTTACCCTTTACTACATGCAGACACCTCCATATGATCGTACACACACACAAAAATGCCGGGGAAAAAAAATTCCCTACCTACCCTATTTTCAAATGATATTTGTAATCAGAAGCAGAAGTATATATTTTTTTGGCCTTACTTAATCCTAACCTTCCCAACTCCATCAAAATCCATCCCTCCATTTTGGGGATTTAAGTAGGCAAGCCATGAGTACCAAGTCCATCAAAATAGAAGTGTTGGTGTTGTGTGGGATTTCAGTGGATAAAGCATTAACAATCAAATCAACTATCATTGAATGGAGCAGAGACGGACCGAAGCCGGGTTTGGAAAGCAGCAATTATGATCACGTGACGCTTGTACACAAGGACGACGTCACACGTACACAACATGCACGCACGACAGCCGTGGTACACAGTTTTTCTGGAGAAGCCACCATAATCATCAATATTTCTCATATTTTAGTCACTTTTGTTCTGTTTCAAGTCGATCATTAGCTTCGTGAAATTAGAGGGAAAATGGACCTTTTTTGTGATGCACTGGGATACAATCATGACGATGCAGGGTCCTGTTTTTAGGGACTCGTACAATCTAGTTTCTGTAATGTAGCAGCTCCAACTCTACAAATGTATGTCGAATTCCTGATAAGCATGGAAGGAAAAAATATTGCAACTTGACGTCACTTTTTTCTTCATAGGCCTGTATATATCGTCTCAATGAAGGTCAGGTTGGTCATTGCAAAAATGACGATATAAGACATGAATCTGGAACTGAGAAACATTTCCAATGTTGTTAGGAAATACTTAGAAAGTGTTCTTGACTCTCTATAGACTTTGTACACAACCACTGAAAGTGGCGTCAAGTTGCAACATTTTTTCCCATTGGAGCTGGAGTTACTCGCTAACTCAGTAGGCCTAGGTTGAACCACCGCCACGGACATTGGTGGCACTATTTTCATGCCAAAAATGACCTAATTTTTTGTGACCGTCTTTTTTGAAAAGGTTTGACATGCAGTAGGCTATCATGTAGACCTACAGCTACAGGTATACTTTCGCTTAGCTCCAAACATCAATAAAAGAGAATTGCAGGGTGTAGTTGACCTTAGAAAGTTTGGTTTGTTATTATTAAATCACATTGCCAAATGTTGTGGATTCCCCCAAAACAGCAATGCTGTTACGTTATTCATGTTATTTGTGTGTAAATTTCCCATTCGTCGTACACGTAATCAACTGACGAGGTCACATTTATTTCAGCCAAATTGAGCATAATATTAAGGCAAAAAAAGCAACTTTAAAATTGCAATAATGTCAGAACTGCTTGCCCTATGAGTATGACGTTAGGAGACCATTTGTTCAATTGTGTTTTGAAAGCTCTTTAACTTTAAGCATGTTAAGAATAAAATAAAGTAAATTCTACAAGTACAACTATCAAATCAACTTTGAAAATTGATGATTCTACATGTACCTATTTATATTTTTAATTATACATTGATAAATGATGATGTTCAGTTGTTGTACTTCTGTAGCCATAAAAACAAATGAATTTGTACCAATCCATGCGACCTTCAGATCACCGCCGGGCCGGCCGCCGAATGTTTTATATATATTGAAATACCTTTATTGTTATTCACATCAGTGATACAATAAGAACATTAAGAAATTACATTTATTTATAAATAAAAACATCTTCATTTTGTTCATTATCATACAGAAAACGTCAGACATGGACAAATTCAGCACACATACATACATGTACATACATAGGCCTACACCAATGTAGCAGTACAGTAGTAAAAAGGAAGAAGGGGGGGGGGGACCTAGGACTCAGGCGTAGGAACGGGGGGAAACCCTGAAAGGGGCTGGCAAGGTAAAAAGGGAAAATTCCACCATCTGGAGGGGGACAAAGCTATAAAAATGGCAATGTGGGAGGAACATGTATTTAAAAAGGGAGAAATTTAACATGCACAGAATACTTGCAATTAACACATAAAACCCTACCATCAGGAGAAAGAAGAACAAAAAGGAGAAAAAATATATAGAATTTCACCCACCTTGTTCTGGGTCCGTGTACAGTGTATGGCACTCTTTCAAGATCCTCTCGTTCACTGAGACACTAGCAGAATCCGTGGGATTTGCTGAACTTCTTTGCTTGACTTTACCCGACATCCTTGTGGTTTTTTTCACGCTGTTTCCTTCTTGCCTCGTCGACTGAAAATTGACAACGTCATTCACTTGTGCGCAAACGTCCTTCGACAGTTCGAGAAAATATAAACGTGTAATATCACACATGGCGATACGACAGACACCCAGACTTCATTTCACTGACTCGCAACTCGTTTAACGTTTAATTCAAGTTTGACATTTCGCAAGGAACCATGCATAAAGGGGGGGGGGGGGGGGGGAGAATCGAGTGTAGTGGACTCTGAACGGCAGAGGGCGGTAGTGAGAGCAGACGATATTAAAATTTGTCGCGTCGTCTGCCATTTTCTGTCATCTGTGTGAATCATTTTGCTAACAGCGACAGATTTTACCTAGATTGCACATTTTACATCGTCCTCTCTCCACTTTGGAACAGCTGGTATTCAGGGAACTGTTTATTCTGTCATGGAAAAGGTAGGCCTACGTCAGAAGTGCCTTTAGTTTTACGTTACTTTAAATTTAAAACGCAGTGGCTATTGTTACGGCAGCCGTAACGCATTTCCCATTTTCTATCGTTACGGTAGACTGCAACCTGGCAACTTTTATAAAAAAACATGACAAGAAAATATAAAATTAGAAGGAAAAAAGTGAATTTGAACTTTATGAAATTCGGACTTTATTTCCCTTTTAAAAAAAATCCTCCAAAGCCTCAGGTTAGAAAAGGAAAAAAATTCGAGTGCAAAACTGAGATTCGAACCCGCAACCTCGCGGTGCAAAATCCTACCCTCTATCGGCTGAGCTAGCGCACTGCTCGACAACACGTGGGGAAACAATAAATTATATACCTGCGTGCGTATCAAAAAAATATCGTAGAGGGCGCTAAACAACGAGTGCCGTAACGATAGCCACTTCGAATTTAAAATAGTAAATATTTGCTTTTTCATGATTGAAGTTCATGTAGGCCTTCGTGGCCTGTAGTAAATACAACGCCACGTTCACGGCAGTACTACTGTTGATCATGTTGATTGTTCGCTCATGACCGGCTGTCGTGTCGGACTGAAAATGCTGAAAATTTGAATATGGGATTGGAATGAGGCAAGGGGCGGTTTGTATAATGTGAAGAATTTACATTCACAAGCATGTAATTGGTTAGCCCTTGTGATTATACGCAACGCAATGGCTATCGTTACGGCACTCACTCACTCACTCACTCTGTCGACCCAAGTGGATGCTTGAGACGAGCGCGATGATGCACACGCCACACATCACGACTGTTCATGCAGCTAGCGAGCTCATCCGTCGTCTCAACCCCTGCATCATCCATCATCAACCTCACTAATGTCTTGATTGGCCTCCCTCTGTTACGGCAGCCGTTTCCATTTTCAACTGCTATCATTACGAAACCATCTGGTCTGCTGGTTCCCTGACCTACGGTCAGGATCTTTGGTTGTTGAAAGCAGACTATTCACCCGAATGGTTCTCGGACTTTATTTCCCTTTAAAAAAAAATCCCCAAAACCCACGGATTACGAAGAAGAAAATGAAATGTACTTAAATAAACAGAACAATTTGATTAAAAACAACAAGTAAAGAAAACTACATGTATTAAATATGCAATTGAGTAGGAACCTAAAGGAACCCACTGGAACCCAAAGAACCCACTGGAACCCAAAGGAACCAAAAGGAACCCACTGGAACCCAAAGAACCCACTGGAACCCACTAGAACCAAAAGGAACCCACTGGAACCCACTAGAACCAAAAGGAACCAACTGGAACCCAAAGAACCCACTGGAACCCACTAGAACCAAAAGGAACCCACTGGAACCCAAAGGAACTGGAAAATGAAAGTTTTGTGGACTATCCTGCCTGAATGTACAAGTCTGAGTATCACCTGCTGTCCAACGGAGCCCTCTGTCTCCGGTCCAACATCTGCTATCTCCAAGCATGCAAATTTATGCGACCCTGCGTGCCAGCCAATCGGAATCGATATATGACATCGTTTCATTCCGAAATCTGGACTAAGAGGTTGATTGGTCAATTTGGATGCCATGTTTTTGTGATACAGCAACGGGCATAGAGATCTAATAAAACCGGACGAGGCTTTCAAAACGGGTTACCGAAGACCTGATATAGAAGGCGCCCGCTGCATGTTAAGAATCTTGGTCAAGACGCAGTCATGTTTTGCATAATTTAATCGTCAAATCTGCTCATATCATAGACTAGCCTGAATGTCCTTTTTATAAATATAATTAATGATAAAATAATAGTGGTGTTTGTATTTATGTTACATAACTTTTGCAGGCTGGTAAGCTATGGGGTGGCCGTTTCACTGGCTCAACCGACCCTGTCATGGAGAAATTCAACGCCTCCATCGGCTTTGACCAACGCATGTGGAAAGCTGACATTGAGGGCAGCCAAGCCTACGTCAGGGCCATAGAGAAAGTGGGTCTCGTCACAATGGAAGAAATGAAAGCTATATATGAAGGACTGGGGAAGGTAACCATGAGAGTATCTGAATTCCGGTTGGTGCAGTGATGGCAGGGGCGTCGCTAGACCAATTTGATGGGGGGGGGGGGAGAGGCATGACAACAAACTTGCTGACAGACTTTTGTTGATGGAAGATAAGGCCAAAAAAAAAATATTCTCTGGTCAGACCAAAGTTCCGGAATTGACGCGGCCACGCGGCTTTTTTTTTTTTTTTTTTTTTTTTTTTTTCTTCAAGCTTGGATTGTACAGACGAGGTGGGGTACTATTTTGTTTTTTTGGTGTCCTCGTGTACATTGGTGTCCTCCATCATTTGCCTTGGTGCTTTCGATCATTTGCCTTGGTGCAATTTCCCATTCCTTGGTGCTCTTTGGTAAAAAAAATTGAGGAGGTGCGGAAATAGAGGGCGCTGTTGGAGCTACCGCGGAAGTTTTTGGAAAAAAAAAAGATCGACGCGCATGATTAAAATCGACGCGCGCGCTGACCAAAGACCGACTTATTTTTTTTTTTGGCCTAACCGGGATTTGTTTGGTTTCCCGGTCAGCAAGCTGTCGCGAAATCAAACGGGGGTGCCTGCTAAGTATTCTCCCAAATAATTATCTGCATTTTTTTGTTTTGCAATTTGACATGGTAGGTAGCAGAAGAATGGCAGTCGGGAACTTTTAAGATCATTCCAGGAGTGGACGAGGATATCCACACAGCCAACGAGCGTCGCCTTAAGGAGCTGATAGGCCCCACGGCAGGGAAGCTGCACACAGGACGCAGTAGGAATGACCAGGTAGACCCCTGGCCATTCACCAAACCTTGGTTTCATCTGGAGCTTTGACGCTCTCTCTGTCTTGCTTCAGGATCATGTAGAGGGCTATAATGTTAAAGCGAATTGAAATGACACCCAATTTTTGCTGTGATATAACAGGATAATGTTTATGAAAATTGACGCATACTGAGTTAAAATTACCCAAATGTAGGGTCTAAACTCAAGTCAAAAGATTTTACCTTAAAGCCCCCCTCCCCCCAATAAAAATAAAGTCAGAAGTCTCACGGTTCATCAGTATTAGGTTTTGCCCTTCACCGCTGCTACATGTACATCAGATTCACCGGCCAACTGATCCCACAAGCTTGGTGGTCGAGTGGTAAGATGTCTGCACTAGAAATTTGAGTCCCACCCGAGTGATTATTTCCAACTTTCACTCGGGAGGTAACATACTGAGTATTCAGTGTTTATACGTCGGTGAAGGGCAAAACCTTATATTGATTTACATCACCCGACGCAAAAATTCCATCTTATGAATAGTCTCACGGTTGTTGACCCGTTGTTCCAAAAGAGATTAGCACCAAGTTAATTCATTGCAGAAAATCAGGTATATGTTAATAAACACCTGTATAGGCATTCAATCATTTTGTTTACTTAAAATGTACACTTTTCAGCAGATTTTCATTTTTTTTTGTCTAAAGTTGACACAGCAATAAAAAAGCATGCCACCAAAACTGCAAAACAAAAAGAATGGTGGCATAGCACTTTTCTTAAACCTTCGCACATTTTCAGCATTGGTGTCCCTTCTCATTATGGCAATATACCTTTTTTGATAAATTAAGATTTTCAGTAGATTTTAGTGTTCATGTTCAGCGGTGCCATGGCTAAATGCATCTCTGTCTGACCCATCCTCTCTGTAGTGTGCCACTGACATGCGCATCTGGCTGCGAGATGAGATTGTCCCGTTGCGTCAGCATCTTCTAGACCTTATCACTGTCATTGTCAACAGGGCCAAGACGTAAGTTATCTACTACATTTACTGCTGTTTCATATAAGCAATTTGCAAGTGACCTTTGTCCTTTGTTTGAGTCAAGTTTGAATGTCTGGTAAACTGACTTTCTTGTTCACAGGTTTTTTCTTTAAATTTTCCAGACTGCAGACACTGAACTTTATCACTTTAGTAAATATACAGAATGGCGATCATTTCAGTGTTTAAGTTCTAAATAGTGCGGTAGTCAAGCCCATCACATGTCATCCAGGCCCCTGTTACATTGGACGCCAGAGGTATGATGTCAGAAACTTGATTGGGGATGATACGACAACCCTGTGCCAAAGGATTGACAAAAACAAACTGCAGTGTTTTGGCCATGTTTTAAGAAGAGAAGGCGATAGTCTGGAGAGGATTATTGTTCAAGGAAAGGTTGAAGGCAGCCGTTTACGTGGCAGACAGAAACTTTGTTGGGCCGATGGATTGTAGGAGCTGACAGGCATGTTTCTGACCTTAGCTACCGCATTTATCATCAGCTACCGGGTTTATGGCTTCTGACTAGCACCCTGAACAAAAACGTTGAAAATTTAGGAAACCGCCAACACAGGGCTGCATGGATAACTCAATTAGGAGAGTGCTGGTGTAGTAATCTGGAGGTCGCAGGTTCAAACCCCGCTCCAGTCAATTGCTTTGTTCAACTTCATGTATGTGTGAACCATGGGCGTCACCATGATTTTTTCTAGAGGGGGGCAAAGCACATTTCTCCCCCCCCCCCCCCCCCCCCCCCCCGAAATCCCTGTTCTTTCCAGCATATTCTCGATTTATAATTTTTCGAGGTTGGGCAGGGACATTTGACCGCCCCCTCCCCCAACCCATTAAATTAACAGCAATACGACTTTGCGCCTCTTTTTCTTTCTTATTTCTTTCTTTCTTTGCTATTTTTTGGTGTTTTTCCGGGGGGGGGGGGGGGGGGGGAGCGCCCCCCCTAACCCCCCCCCCTTAACCCCCCCTCCCCTCGCGACACCCATGGTGTGCATTTTGTCAGCTTCCCTATGTGTTTTAGTTGATTGAAATATTCTTTCAAGTAAAAAGAATGTGCCATTGGTGTACTGCACAGAGACAGGTTTTGGAGGATTCAGGAATTGCCGAAGCAAACAATGCCATGGGGTATGGTTAATGTTAAAATCCTTTCATTGATTCTCATTCTCTCGATATTTTTGCAGGGAAGTTGATGTTCTTATGCCAGGCTACACACACTTGCAGGTATAAACATTTTGTTGGTTTTGTAATACCCCTGATTTAGGATTTTTCCTGAATTATTTTAATTACATTTTAGATAAAATACCGTTATCCTCAGTCTATTCTGTCTAGCTTCATTAACATTTTCTGTTTTTATAGCTTAGCTGTTTTGTTTTTCCAATGGGTAAAAATGACAAATCAACTTCGTTATAAAATTTAAATTTTTGCAATTTATTGGCATAAAACAGCCCAACACCATTGTACAGGTAGCTATTGATAAAGCTTGCACATGCATGACGAGTAATTTATTTTGTCATAATCCTTGAAACACAATATGGTACATGTAGTTCAATATCTCATTTACATGCATTTTCTAATCCCCTGTGGAGTCAACTATTGATAAATACTTGGACCGATGTAATGGCCTGTGCATATGCAGAGGACGGCATTATAAATTAGGTAGTATTTAATTGTCTTGATAACATAATTGATGGGTTTTGAACGTTTAATAATAGACTGGTATCCTCACAAAAGTGGGCAAATAATTAAGGTATAAACGTAAGCTATGTCAGTCTACTGGGGCTGTTATACTCTTATGGTCTGGAGCATTGAACTCATGGTCTGCGGTTTGAGTCCAGCCTGGGGTCATGGTGCGTGTGCGCCCTTGGGCAAGGCACTTTGTCACTCATTGCTTCTCCCCACCCAGGAGTAAATCGGTACCTGTGAGGGCCGAGATGGTTATTGTGATTTTAGCTGCTATGCACCGAAATGGCAGCATGGAGCTGTATACTCCCTTTCTTACTGTCTTTGGAGTGTTTCATTGGCCCAATGAGCAGGGTAATAATGATGTAGTGCCTTGAGCCCCAATGCTAGTGGATACGTGCATTTTATAAGAAACACATCATTTTTATTATTACATATTAATATGTCAGTTTCAGTTACTGAGGATGTGAAATACAAGATATTTTAGATGTTGATGCACTGGGATGTCATATCCAAAAAATTATAATCGGTGATATTTTTTTTTTTTTGGCAGAGAGCTCAGCCCATTAGATGGAGTCATTGGCTTTTGAGGTAATTATTTGCACTATTTTTCAAGTGAAAAATAAAACACCTGAAACTGTTTGTCCCTCCTGACAAAAAAACTCCTGAGTTTGAAAGTATAAAAACATTTTGGCATAGGAGTACTCTTCTTTTTTTTTTAAATCACCAACAAGCAATAACCAGACATGGATCCTGAGTACAAATAAATAAAAAAAAGACTGTAACAGGAGAGATTATTAAGGTGCCCAAAATAGTAGAAAATTGATAAGGTTTAAATATCGTCGCATCAGTGCAACAAGATCGTAACTCCATTGTGCAACAAAGTCGTATCTCGTGCGAATACGCTCCATGCAACAAGGTCGTATCTCGATGTCCATTGATTTTGTGTGTACATCCGGGGTATTTTATGTGAGATACGGCCTTTTGACATTCTGAAACTGGCGTTTCACGTATGGCCCATTTTAGGAGATACAGCCTTGTTGCACGGACACAACGAAATTAACTTTATTTTTACGGGTTGAGATTTCAGATTTAGAGGTTATTGTTGGAGCTAGGTATCAGTCAGACCTTTACAATTCAATGTAACACTTTTTGTTTATGTAACCAGCATAATCATTTTATATGCTACAGCCCCAGATTCAGAATTATTGTCCCGAGTTTTTTTGTCCTGGGTTTTATCAGCTATGCCTGGATGTTTCAGAGAGATATGCAGCGACTGCAGGAACTCACAGCAAGAGTCAACGTGAACCCACTCGGCTGGTAGGACACAACCTTATTAGGGCTAGCTTCAATAGGGAATCTGCAGAATTCCGTAAAGTTTCTGTATAATTCTTTATTTGCTAAGGACTGGCATACTCTGCATACTTCTCTGACATATATTCTCTTTTGCCTCTGAGGTTCTAACACATAGTCACTCTATCTGCACATATGTGTCATGCGTCTGTGGTGGGGGGGGGGGGCAACATCATGGGTGGGTAAACTTGCCAACAGACACTCCTTGCTCAAAGGTAACCAGGAATTTATTTCCATTGACCCAGCTGCCGAAATAATACAAAATTATTGGGGGGGGGGGGGGGAGAGTGCCCTCCTTCTCCCCCCCCCCCCTCCTCAAACCATAGAATCTGCGTACTTTGTAGGTTGTCAATATCAATTAAAGCCTATTTTCACATTCCTCAGTGTATATAGTGCATGGACTTTCTGCTTGAAAGCCCTATGTTATAATTCAATTTTATCCCTTCATAGAAAAAAATCTTGATTTTAGTCTGAAATTTGCCCATATGTGTGTGGCTTTAGAGTTAGATTTTATTGCATTAATATTAAATTTTATATTTATTTCATTGCGATAGGTATAGCAATTAATACTCATCAAAGTGATCCCTGATATTCAGACATTTATCACTTTTTGATTTTTTTTTAGTGGTGCACTTGCTGGCAATCCTTTCAATGTTGACAGAGATTTTCTGTCTCAAGGTAAGATTCATTTCCCAGCTTTCAGGAAAATTTGCATAAATGTTTAGTTAAACAAAGACCCAAACACCCTTTAATTTTCAAAACAGTTTAAACAAACCACACCACAGATAGTTACCTGGGGCTAACAGTAATCCTCTGGTAAGGCTCTCCTCACACAGATTTTGCTTGACCAAAGTCGCAGATAACTGAACTAGCTAGATCATGTTCATGAACATAAACCGTTTGTGCTCAAGTCGGCCATCTTTTCACAGATTTCAGATGCGGGGATAAGCAACTCTGGCCTGACAGTGAAGTCATCAGTTTTTACAGATTCCTTCAAGTACAATAGAATTTCGCTTAGTAAGAGTTGTAATCAAGTCAATCACCAGTCAATTGCAACTTAGTCACAAGTCAAGAACGACTAAATCAAAACTCATTTGCAAGTCAGTCACAAGTCATTTGCAAGCCAATCACAAGTCAATTACAAGTCAATACGACTAAATCACAACTCATTTGCAAGTCAGTCACAAGTCAATCAAAAGTCATTACAACTCAATTACAGGTCAACTACAGGTCAATCACAAGTCAATCACAATTCATGTGCAAGTCAATTACAAGTAATTCACAAGTCAATCACAAGTCTATCACAAGTCAATCACAAGTCTATCACAAGTCTATCACAAGTCAATCACAAGTCTATCACAAGTCAATTGCAACTTAGTCACAAGTCATCACAACTAAATCACAAGTCAAGAACGACTAAATCAAAACTCATTTGCAAGTCAGTCACAAGTCATTTGCAAGCAAATCACAAGTCAATTACAAGTCAAGAACGACTAAATCAAAACTCATTTGCAAGTCAGTCACAGGTCAGTTACAAGTCAATACGACTAAATCACAACTCATTTGCAAGTCAATTACAAGTCAATCAAAAGTCATTACAACTCAATTACAGGTCAATCACAAGTCAATCACAATTCATGTGCAAGTCAATTACAAGTAAATCACAAGTTAACCACAAGTCTATCACAAGTCAACTACAGGTCCATCACAAGGCATCACAAGGTCAATTTACAACTCATCACAAGTCAGTAGCAAGCACCCCTTGACAAATGACACTGGCAAATGAGGACACTGCCAACGTAGAGCATGATAGTTCAGTAGAACATCAGTATGATGTTCCAGAGGTCACAGGTTCAAGTCCAGCTCAAGTCAATCTCTTTGTTCAATCTAATTATAGTTCAAGATGTTCATAGCATGTTGTAGTTGAGTCAATCACAAGTCCATTCATAAGTCCAGTCACAAGTATCGGGGAATGACAATAAGAAATGAATGGCTCTGTTAACAGTTGAATGGTTCATGACTGGACGACTGTAGAGGACTTGTGATGGATTTGATTTTTATCTTTTTCCCAGAACTCAACTTTGGCGCTGTGGCCGGTAACAGCCTTGATGGTACAGCAGGGAGGGACTACGTTGCAGAGTTCCTGTTCTGGTCCTCCATGACCATGGTGCACATGAGCAAGCTAGCTGAAGACCTGCTGCTCTACAGCACCAAGGAGTATAGCTTTGTGCAAATTGCCGATGCTTATAGGTTAGTCGCTTAGCTAGGATCAGGGTTTTCAGCAGCTCTGGAAATCAGGGCAATGTTGAAAATGACTTTCCTTCTTTTTTATTTTCCTGGCTTTCAGGCCAGACAGGGGGATATTACGATCGCGTATTCCTTCTGTGTCAATGTGTGCCATTTCACTGTAAAAAGTCAGTCTGTGGAGAGAATTATGCCGATGTCCGACAAATCCTTTCCAATATGGATATTTACGAGGTCTCTGGAGAGATACTAATGACTCTAACATATGCTTGTCTGGTGTCTCACCGAAACTCTCCATTCAACCCAAACTCCCCATTCAACTGAGAACTGGTACCTGCCGGGTGGACAATCAAGGCCGTCACTGAAAATTGTCCTTATTAAACTGGCTGTACATGTATACAAACTGCCAGGATGCCAGGGGATCGCGCATGTTTTACTTGCAGTATTTTTTTCCAGTCAGGGAAACTCAAGGAGTTTGGGACAAACACCAATAATCAGGGAAAACTCAGGGAATTTAACAGTGACCCAGAAGGGAAAGGTTTTCGCAGTTTGGCATATGGCAAATGAAAAATTCGCTTTAGCCTTTAATTGCATGCCTGAAGCCCGGTTCATATTCAGCGCGAAAGCGAACGCGGACGCGAATTTGTGACGTCAGGGCGGGTTTTCGCAGTGCGAATGCGCAAAAGTTTAACACATTTCAAGTCCCGCGAACTTCGCAGCGAATGCTTCGTGACGTCAAATTCGCTTTGCATTCGCTTTCGCGCCTAGTATGAACCGGGCTTCAGAACAGAAACAAATATGCTCTGAGCAGCTGGTAAAATATAGCTTGCGTTGTTAAACCAGGAGATTGATTGTTTGTCTTCATTAGCACTGGCAGCAGCCTGATGCCACAGAAGAAAAATGCCGACAGTTTGGAATTGATCAGGGGCAAGAGTGGACGAGTGTTTGGCAAGGTGGGTGCTGACAAGTCAAAGTCCCTCGCAGTGTCATTAATCAAACCCACACAAGTCACCACAAAGAATACAGTCCCAAGTTAACTGTTAACTATGACAAAAAAATTCCTTTAAATTTGTTAAAGGTACATAGAATCAAATCCTTGTCATTTGATTGGAGGATTGTAGGTCATGCAGCATTCATTAATCAAACCATTGCACGGCCTACATCATAACCGTGCATTTTTGGTCCATTCACCGTGCATTTTCGTCCCATCCCTTTTGATCTATTGCACACCGTGCGCACGCTACAGACAGGCAACGGCCCGGCGCTATACGATCTTTGCGCTATTTAGACCGTCATGCGTTATTACAGTGCAAAACCTGCCTTTGAAGTTGATGCAGTTGCCAAGATTTTTTTGGCAGTATTTTTAAGAACTTACAATGTTAATTTTCATTATAGTCAATGATTTGACTTTTATGACTTCTAAACCTTTGCTAGTCCTGAACAAGCTGAAAAAGGTAGTGGATATGATACAATTTGTGAGTTTGGTTTGTTCTTAAAGTTTTATCCTCCAATCAAATGACAAAGATCTACTTGGATGTTATAAAAAACAAATAATTAATGTTTTGCATTCTTGCAATGGTGAGAATATTTTCATTCGTTGAAAGATGGAATGTTCCATTCAACTCTCAATCTTTCAACTTATGAAAATATTCTCACCATTTCACTCACAAACATTCATTATTTGTAAACCATTCCATGCACTCGGCTTAATCTCGTGGAATGGAACATTCTATCTGCCACCTGAAATTATTCTTTCCATTGCACACGCAGAAATTCATTTCCCCAGGGTACGCGGATTTTGTCATTCCCACAATGATTTGAATGCATTTATTTGATCAGTGTGCAGGATTCCTGATGACAATGAAGGGATTACCGAGCACCTACAACAAGGACCTACAGGAGGACAAAGAAGCATTGTTTGATGCTTACGACACACTGACAGGTCATATAACAAATGTCTTTATTAATTCTGTTATCCTTGCTATGGACTTTGTGCACGAACAGCAGTATGCGCGAACATACTGGGCATATTCGAAACTCTGTTCTTGAGTGACCCGCGAACAGTGTTCTTGAATTGCCGATTACGAACGCGTAAGTTGCAGAGTGCGGCTGGGCAAAAATTCCACATGGCAGCCGCCGTATCAAAACGTCAAATGAAAAGTAGGGGCATTTAATTGAATTAATACGAAAATAATTTAAATCCAGAAACAGCTGTAAAACTTGGAAAAGACATGGCTGACAAGCCCACTCTATCACCATGTACAATTATATTTTTGTATCGTTACTGCTCCTGCACTGAATAAATGTTTTTAATTTTATACACAAATAATAACAATGCAAGTTCCGGTGGGGGCCTAAGTCCACCATCGTTGTTCTTGACATTCTTCATCTACTCCCCAATAAGTGGGGAGTGAGAATCTTGTTCGCGAACACCGTTCCCGTGTTGGTTCCCGTCATTCGGAACCCTGTTCTCGTGTTCATTCAACACGAGAACAGGGTTTGGAATACTCCCACTAGTTGTATATGGGGGGAATTACACACTAATTATATTTTGGCGTGCTCATACTTGTAGCATCTTCTAGTGAGCATCAAGTGTCATCAGAAATGTGTTTGAATGTCACTCCAAGTGGTCTCCCTCAACTCTCCAAGGGGTACCTGTGCACACAGTCCATACTACTTTTCATAAAACACGCATGCAATTTGTGGTACTGCATTCACCACTTGTGGCCTAATGCTGGATTTATGACTGAAGTAGTGCAGCAAACGAAGTTTCACTGGGGTTCTATGAGAATAAAATCTAAAAAAAAAATTTCATAATTTGAAACTAGGAGCCACTGAGGATGACAAAAATTTGTGTGTATACATTGTATATAATTATGTTGCTGCATGTTTAGTCTCTTTAGTCTTTTTAGTCTCTTTAGTCTTTTTAGTCTCTGGTGGTAGTTAGGTTCATGTCAATGCCACCCTTTGTTATCAAGTTCAGACCTCTTCTTTTTCTCCCCTGTTCAAGATTTGGCACATCAAATCATATATGATTTCCATCATCACGTTTTTTTTTCCTGTTTCAAATATATTTTTTAAAGTAAGATTTTAACAGAAGAGGGTTTGAACCTGTGATCTTCGGAATACCGTACCAGTGCTTTACCCACTGAGCTATCCATCCCTATGTTGGCAGTTGCCTATGAGATCAATGTCTTTGTGTTGCTACTCAGAAGCCAATTTCCAGTTTAATTTCATTGTTTGGATTATCAGTTAGTTCGTCATTGTACCATGTAAGATGTATGAAAAAACTGACATCCATAATGTGGACCTGATTATCCTGCAGGCGTGCTGCAAGTTGCAACAGGTGTAGTTTCCACACTGACCATCAACACTGAGTCGATGAGGAAAGCACTCAGCCCTGACATGCTTGCCACTGACCTGGCCTACTACTTGGTCCGCAAAGGTGTAAGTTCATAAGAACAAATTATCAGTAAAGACTGCATTAACAGAAGCTTGGTTTGCGAGTGGTAAGATGTCTGCCCTGGTAAGCAGGGCAGTCGTTAAGTTCCTATCACGTGAGCTTGTGAATTATGTTTTCTTCAGTGGTTGCATATCTGCATTTTATCTCCGTAAAGGTGTATAATTGAAATCGATATGCCCAAAACTGAAGCGCTCAATTGGTATAAAATGAGAGTTTTGATTTTGCTCTGCATTGAAAAAGACACACACGTTGAGCATGTGTATACGTGTTCTACATAACCCCCGAGGACCGACACACAAAGGGAGAACAACAGATCCTTTCAGTCCTCGGGTGTTGGGTCTTTTATTGGAATCGGTCCTCTGTAGTAAGTTTGTGTGAGTGTTATATAACAGGGACAAAGGGAAATACAAAGCATTGTCCTTGAGAGTGTAGTAAAACAAGAGTGTATGCTCTATGGACCATTTTTAGTGTGTCAATGCTGCCTGTGTTTGCTGTGCTCATTTCAAGCACATCATGCATCTAATGTCAATATTTTCTATGGACACACATGTAGACGTATCCTACACGAGGTAATAAGGAGTAAGAGCTCTAGTAAATTAAACGTAACGAATGTTGTAGGAGCCGTAGGATTCTTTTGGAGAACAGCTTGAGCACCGTGGGATCACCGCCTTAACTGTAAACTCTGTATGAACCCTATTGTTGCAGCTCCGGAAGCAGGCCTACGAAATACATGTAGGCTCTATCTATAAACAGATTCTCTCAAGTGGGTTTCTTTGTTCAGTCTTGGCAAGAAGGGTTGGCCAGACGCCAGTGCCAGGCTTTGGTGGGTAAATGTTATACATTGTATAAAAGTTGTCTATAACAGCAAGAAGTTGCTGCTGCTGAAGCTTAATAAATCAGTGCGTTTCATTCTGCACAAAATTGAGTGAGCTTGTGTTCTGTTTGCGTTTGGCCGACGGAACAAACAAGGACCTGGCAAAGGCGTGTGTTACATTAATATAGCTCTATAAAAGCTGCAGATACACATGGTTAGAAATCTCACTTTCTAAGGCCTGTTTTGTCTTTAGAATTCATCACTCCCCCTTCTCATATTTCCCATGTCATGACAGATTCCATTCCGTGAAGCCCATGGGTTGTCCGGCGGTGTGGTAGCTCTGGCAGAGAAGAAGCAGTGTTCACTGACTGAGCTCACTGTGGCCGATCTCAAGACAGTCAGGTCAGTTGGGGCAGTTTCCTAAAGCCTCTCAACCCAGGTTGAACTCAACCCGGATTGAACTCAACCCTGGGTGGACCCAGTGCCGCCCCGGGTTGAGTTTTTAAATTTTTGAACCCGGCATCATTTCACACTTGTCTCGTGCAAACCAAGCTCGGGTAACTACTGTTTTGAACCAGGGTTGGAGCAGGATTGAAAATGCTCAAGTGTGAAATTCTACATGTTTACAACCTGCATCATGCAACCCTGCGTCAACCCGAGATTTGTCAAGGGTGAACTGTTTTGGACACAAGTTAAACACAGATTGCCATCACTGGTGTAAGTGCTTCTAGCAGCTTCCAAGTTAGGGCCTGTAAACTCGGAAGGAATACAGTACTTCTAGCAGTACACTCTTATCTTGTTAATCCCTTTGTCAACAAACTGGCCCCTGTTATCAAATACTGCTGCTAATCCCCTGCACTTGTTAATATCAGCTGTGTGACAGCACATGTGGCTTTATTACACGAAGTTTTAGGGATTATAAAGCCACCGTTTGGACAAAGGATTAAGATAGATTAGAGGGCTGGCCAGCTTACAGTTAGATTGACTGTTTTCTCTCAGAAGTTTCTAGTGGAGGTTACTCGCAACGTTTGGACACAAGATGTGCCCAAGGTTTGGGGTGATTGGATCCGAGGCACTCAGACTTGGACTCAGACTGAAAGATTTGGGACTTGGATTTGTGACTTGGATTCAACTGCCCAATGACCAATATTCATTTTTGTTAAAAATTCACTCTTTTTTAAATGCTCATTTCAGTCCCGCTTTTGAAGAAGACATCAGCGCCGTGTGGAACTATGAGAACAGCGTGGAGCAGTACACCAGCACGGGAGGCACTAGCAAGCAAGCTGTTATGAAACAAGTGCAGCAATTGGAGGAGTGGTTGGCTTCACTGGCTTAGAGCCAATAATCAGCCAATAAGATTCCATGTTCTTGGACAATAGGGCAGGGTAGCACAAAGGATTGGTGTTAAGATTTTAAAAAAGTACCCTTTTCATTTAAAAAAATATAGCCAACTTATTATAGCGGGTGTCAGAATTGCATGAATTTAAACTGAAGGTGCTTTCAAAAAAACAGTATTTCCCAAGTAAAAAGGTGAAATTTTAACTGAAATTTTAAAGAACTTTAAAGTAGCCTTCCTGACTGTGACCATGATACATTACAAATGTTCATGTACTGCGCTTAAATTTGACAGGCAGTCCATTTGAAGTCAAGTCAGAATTTTTAGAAGCTAACTGACCTCTTTTTATAATTCATTTACAGCTCTGTGTTGTTCCCCCCAAAGATGAAGTGACGCAAGAATACCTGTTATTCAAGACTTATATGTGAAATCCAAGAAGGATAAAATTACGATCGGATTATGACAACTCATAATTGAACGTGGATGTTAATTTTGTCCAAAATGTTTTTGTGTTTACAGGTACACATCTGTATGGATTTTGCCAAAATTTCACATCCTTTTAGATTGTTTACTTTGCCTTATTTCAAAGGTCACTTGAAATTCACGTCTTACATATCTGAAATATTTAACAAGCGCTTCGACGGCGCAGTTTTTAAGGATAAAAAATTTGTACCCTGAAATTCCTTCATGCAATAATCACACATAAGCAGCAAAGTTTCAAGGTATAGTTGTGTGAGTGCTCGTCATCTATTCTTTAACAATCATTCCAACTGCACCTGTAATATCATTTCATGGTAAACACATTTGTAAACACCTATACTGAAATTTGTATTCTTGTGGGGACATTTCTTTGTTCTCACGTAGTAAAGTTTTCGAGTTTGAAAGTGAAGTTTCAAAATGCTCTTATTTTAACCAGAATTAATTTCCTTGGCTGAAATTCGGACTTAATATCCCTTTTCTAAAACTCTTCCATTTGCGACAGATCAACTCACCTGGGAAATTCCTAGTTTTTGAGTAAAATCCATATATCTATTTCGTGAAAACCTTGTGGAGACCTATTCATCTATAGAAATTACCCTGTGGAGACCTTTACAATGTTTTGTTCCCTATTGTGTGTGAGTCTCCACAAGGATACAAATTTGTGGTCACTTGTATTCTATTTTTTTGGAGAAAAGACATTCTAAGCTGGCTGGTGTGATAAAGGAAAAGAAGCTAGAAAGTATTTTTGTTTAAAAGTCTGTTGCTAGACTGATTAGACAGAGGTCTTTGTGAGTATAGATCACAATATGGTAATTTCCCTTTTAGTAAGGGTTTTGTTCATTGTGTGGTTGTGGTAATGTGAAATATGTGTGCGACTCCTATCATGTGAAAATCCCTTTTACAAAGGGTTTTGTTCATTGTGTGGTTGTGGTCAATTGTTTTAATTAAACATGATTACCGGTATATATGGTACAAAGGTACTTCTTAAAGTGAAGTTATATGTATGAAGTTATAGGTATATGTATTTTTAATTGATTATAAGGTTATTAAGTACGAGGTGCTTGTGTATTTTGGTCGTGAACACAGGACTGGAATAGTGTAACTAAAGGGGGGGGGGGAAATAATGGGGGCATGCCCCTCCCCACTCTAGGCCTGTGTTGCAACACCTTGTTAATGTTATAGCAGGGATAACAGTGATTTATGAAATGTATTATTAATGAGTTATTTGGCGATGTCTTTGTTTCTCCATGACGGAACTTGTTTGCCATTTCAAGTTCAGAGGGTGGAAATTATATTTGTCAAGTTCTTTTAGGGCCCGTCTCAATTCATATCCGGGATGAGTTCTGGTCAAGTTTCGGGTATAAGTTGCAGGATTCTGAACCACTCCCCGCAATCTTCTTGCAATGAAGTTCTCAGTATTGGTGAGTCTAGCAGTTGCTAATGAAAATTTCCCCGGAACATGTCCAGGACAAATGCAGAGCTTCTTCTGGGACAAAGTGAATGATTCTACCGGAACTCGTCCCGGAATTTGAACCGAGACGGGGCCCTAAAAATAATCAGGGAAGAAATATCAGAAATATGCTTCCAAGTTGTAATTATGAGTATTCTTATAAAGCAGACTGTTAAAAAATTATGTATTTGTTCCGAGTATTCACGTAGTGGAATTATGGTCTTTTCAGTGCAAGCAAAGGCTGTTGGTCTTGGACATGGCCTTAGCATGCTTTCAATTATTAGGGAAGTAACATGAATAAAATGACACGGACTAACAAAATTTGGATTAATCCTTTCTTCAAAATTCATTGCTCCAGCTTTCTGAATAGTCCTAAAAAAGTCTACAAATATACACAGTCAAGATAATGTTACAAGTTTGAAAAAACAGTTTGAGATACAGCACTAAAAAAATTGGGGGGGGGGGTCATTTTAGACCCTTTCTTTTTCTTGGCATGGTTGGAACAATTAAATATGGTTGGAACAAGAAAATAATAAAAAATAGTTGGAAAATGCTTTAAAAAGGGCACAAAAACAAGAATTGGCATCTGTCTCTATACAAATTTCACTATGAAAAAAATGATGAATTTTGTCAACGGTGTGAAAATAACATCACATGGCAGAGCCAAAGTTTGGTCCACAGAATAAAACCTTTTGCTTAAAGACAGTTAAAAAAAAGTTGTGTTTATAAACAAATACCACTCAAACATGCTGATGTCACCAAAACAATCCAATTGAAATACATCAGCTCTCCATGACAGAAGTACACAGAGACAAATAAAGGTACACATGATTGCAACTGAAGGACTATTAGCAATTTGATAATTGCTCTTTCTTGGGCTTGCCTTGTGCCTTTGGGTTTTATTTTTTGAGACAGGTCCTTAAAGCTACAGTCCATCATCTGCAGCTATCCAAAAAGTAACTGATGTAATTATTGTTGAAAAGCATACTTGGTTGAAAGATAGTAAGGGGACTAAACTCCCTGTGAAATTATTCTTTCTGGCATGCTGTCATTTTGAAGAAATCAACTAAAGAAGGCCTTTCCAATGATGCGTCTTGGAAATTTCCTTTAGTAGTTCATTTTTTGTAGTCGGCAAAGCACGCGCAGGTGTTGACATGATGCACACACGCGCACGGTTGCTATAATTTGTCAGATCAGTGCAAAGCGATAAGCTGCAATCGGCTCGGTGAGAACTTTCCTCGGACACTGAATTCAGGCCCAATTCGAGCGATTCACAATGCAGTGCGCCACCAAGAATTTGCCACGGAGAGTTCATTTTTCCCAGTGCACCATGGAAAATGGTCAACAAATTCGCAGGGCGGGACATTTGAAACTGTTAGTTTTTCCGGTCAGCAGTTTTGTAAGCATATGATTCCAGTATATGCTTGCCCTTTTCTTTTCTTTAATGATGTTTTTTGTAAGGTGGCAGAACGCAATGCCCAAGTCCATAACAAATTAGCTCAAGTTGTCTACTGACGCTCATTCAAATGGGCCATGTTTTGTCGTTCTTAAATTTGAAAAATGGACTCTCCATGGCAAACTCTTGGTGGCGCTATGCATTGTGAATCGCCCGAATTCAAACATGATTCAGCAACTTTTGATTTGAAATCAAGATTCAAGAATGTTGTTTTTCTCGAAATATACAGCTGAAGCTGAGCTGAAAGTTCATCAGGTTAGTTGTTCAGCACCCTTCATTAGATTTTGAGCACCTTTGTTATTTCAAACAAACAAAATGCACAAATTACAAATGATGGACTGTACCTTTAAAAAAACGGTTTCATGATCAAGTCTTTTGGAGAGGATCTCTACTGTTCACAACATCCCACGCACAGGTCCGTCTCAGCTTGAAGGCTTGTCTTTTTTCCTCTTGAAGATGCTCATGATTCGCCTCAGCATCCCCGTCCCTTCAGACATGTTCTCGTTCTCGTGGGGAGAGATCCCCACGGCAAACTTGCTGATATGTGGCACCCCTGAGCGGTTGGGGGTCGCGTCCAGGCTGCTGTCGGCTATCTCTCCCGGCTCCAAACCGCCGTCGGCCGTTTCTCCTGGCTCCAGATCCTCGCTGCTTCCTGCTGCGTCAGAAGTCTGCTGTTCTGCGCTTGCATTCACTGCTTCATCTGCGGCGTCGTCAGATGTCTTTATGTTGATTTCTTTCTCAGTTGGTACCGGTAGGTGACCTTGTTCGTCATCTTCAAGTGTTCTTGGCTCACTTTCCTCCGTGATTTTCAACACATTGGGGACATCATCATTTACTTGAGAAGCTCCTTCTGGAGTCTCTTCGACATCGTCATCTGACACCGACTCCACGATGAACTCCTCCCCGTCCACCACAAACCGGTCGCTGGCGTCGGTGTCGGACGGCACGCTGCTTCCGTCTTCGGCCGCCGCCTGCATCAGGGCCTCGCGCAGCCGGCTCTGCATGAGCTGCAGGTCGTCTATAGAGGGCGACATTGAGCGCGGCGTGGACGAGGACTGGCTTGGGCTGTCGACAGAGGGAAACTCGCTAGGTGTGTCCGCAGATGTCAACCTTGGCGTGTTGCCGGGTGTGGCTGGGGGAGTGGAGGTTGGCAAAGGGGGCGGAGTCTCAGGTATTGGAGTGGGGGGTAACGGGGGCTTGAAGGCTGAAGTACCTTCGAGGGAATCACCATTCCTGGCATCTGATATTGAGAAAATATATCTCGGTCAAAATAGAAAAACACTATTCTTCAGAAGGGGTATCAGGTGTCAAGGAATAACCCTTCCATGCAAAAATACCTCCGTTTCAGAGTAGCCGTAGTCGTAACTCGAATTGTTCCACACGATATTAGCAACCGGAAAGATCATCACTGGAAACAATTGCAAATGCAAATGAAAACCGGTAATTTGACACAGACGTGGTCGGTACTTTATGTTAGTCTTTAACTTATTATGAAATACCTTACTGTCTAAAGCATCCTGTAAAATCATGGCACCTTGTGTGCTGTCGTTTTGAACAAAAGTGGTATTTTTGTATCAATTTCCAACACTGGCTGACCAGCGTTGGAAAAAAAACTGGCATTTTTCAAATACTGCCCCAATTTTGTTTGCAATCGATTACACACCTATGAACGGGTACAAGCCAGCTAGACTGGTTCCCTGACCTTACAATTCCCTGATGTCTATAAATTGCTCTGTTTCATCTTGGGGTCAGGGAACCAAACTACAGGAACACGATTAGCTCGGCGGTCGAGTGGTAAGACATCTGCACTTGAAAACAGGAGATCGTGGGTTGAAGTCCCACCTGAGTGATTTTTTTCCAACTTTCACTCGGGAGGTAACACACCGAGTATACAGTGTTTAAACGTCGGTGAAGGGCTAAACCTAATTTGTTTACATCACCCCAACGCAAAAATCCCATCTTATGAAAAGCTCACACTTTTCATATTTACTGACCGCGAAGTCTGTACTAGCCTGTCTTACTTCATAAATATCAGCCTTTGCACATTTTTCGGGTTCCAACACCCAGGACCTTCTTGAGGTTAATTAATAAAGTACCTGGTGTTTCCAAGTCCATGTCAATGTCCTCTCTGTCCGATCGCGGTCGCTTCTTGCTGGGGTCTTCCCCAAAGTCCTTGCCTCTTCTCTTGCGCCCGTTGTCAGATGACTCCGCCCTGGGCGGAGTCATGAACATTTGATAGGCGTCTTTGCTGTGGGCAGGGTGCATCGGGGGCACACCGTGGGGCTGGGAGGGGGAGAGGGGGGGGGGGGGGCGAAACATGCAGACAGAATTAAGAACTCGTCATCTCTGTGATTTAAACTTGGTGGGTTGCAATATAAAATGGAATATTTAAAAAAGCAAAAAATCAACAGGATTAAAGATATGGGCCTTACTCACGTGTTGGCCATTTTTGACGAGTTCCCTGAATGTATTTCATTAATTTTTAACTGTTGAATGGGATGGCGCCAGACTATTTATTGCAGGCACAATGCAGCCTTATTTTACTGTCATTTTTTTTTTTTAATCTGGCTTTAAACATTAGGGAATGTTTTATTCCAAATTTTTCATTATTCATTGAAGCAGACTGGAATTTAATATAAATCAACTTGCTTTCATTTCGCTTCGCAAGTTCCCAAAATAAGATTTTACCTAACTTTCAATTCAATATGGCCGACTCGTGAATAAGGCCCATAACCCGTGCTCTTCAAAACATGGAATTTTTTTCCGCCTATCAAATTTTTTGATTTGTATGTTTTGTATTTTTAATGAAAAAAAAAAATACTCATCTCTGATTTTAGGCATCCTCTGAACAGACAACATTTCACTTTGCATACAAATGAACTCGCCCTGCTTGCCTAGCTGAGGTGGACCTGAAAGTCTTTATTTAATGCAATCCTTAAATGCACCTTTGTTTCCGATTTAAGCTTTTTTTTTAATATTTGTTTTGCTATTTTGAAGGGTATTTTGGTGCCTTTTTTGGTTTTAAAGCATTTTTCCATATTCATGAACAAAACTGTGATGTCATTTCAGGCAGAAACCTCAAATGTTACAGCTATTTCAGCACCAAAATTTGTCACTTTTTTTGATATTCTGCTGTCGTGAATTTTCTTTTCTTTGGTAATTTGTTGTGTCAGTACATGGCAGTATTAAGCCAATGCAATCTCTTCCCACAAATGTTTTCAATGAGCAAATTTTGGGTTCACAATTTGTACAGAAAACCCACAAACTGAACAGTGTCTCCCTGAAATGATATCACAGCAACAGCGCCCTCACTTGTCCAGGAAAGCATGGAATATTTTAAATGTTTAAAGAAGGGCACTTTTCAATAAAATTAACCGAAAAGGACGACAAAGAGTTTTCATGCATTTAAGAGGAGTAGAAAGTCGCACAAACTGTGTTCCTATGAAAAATTCATCTGATGGACCCTTCAACTTAGGAAATTGCTTAAACTCAATGACGAAGTCAGTCAGTCAGAGCACAGATCCTCTACACAAGGATAAACGACTCATCTGAGCTTGTGTACAAAACGTACGGAACGGTTTGTCAAAGGGCGTGATATGCCACGTCTACGCATAGAACAAATAGAACATGTAGAACAATGCGCGCGCGCCATGATCGCCGACAGTTGGCATCCTGTAAGAAATTTGACCACTGATAGACTGTAGACGTGCGCAAAGTCTTGCACACGCACACGCACAGCACGCAAGAGACATATCACGCCTATAACCAAAAATTTGGGGAAGTTGTTTATCCTTGTGTACAGGATCTGTAGTCAGCAATAGGCCTTCCCTTGAGTCCAGCAAAAACAAATTCCTAGAAAAATTCCTACAAATGACAACACAAAGCCGAACTTTCAAAGGAAACGGGACACAAAGGTGTATTTTAAGGATTGCAAAAATTATATCACATGGGCCATTCAAAATGTTTACTTGGGCCCATTCAAACCATATGGTACATGGTCTGGTCCTAGTTGTACATACATCTCTGACGCCTTCTGGTAGTGCTACATTGAATCCTGGGTATTCGATCAGCTTGGAAGGATCGTAAGTCGGCCGGGCGTTAGTCTCATCCGATTCGATCTGTCCAGGTTCATCTCCATCTTTAGAATGAAAAATAAATTGAAAACACATTTTCGACTTGCAATTCGTTTTGATATTTTTACAAAACTACATTCTACCATGAATGGAACAACAACGATTTAAAACAAATACAACAATACTTCGTCCGTCGGGAAACCTTTCAAATCTGGGCAACTCCAGCATCACGGACATTACAATTCAGACATTTTTTTTGTACTTTAAGAGCTCAGCGAAGAAACCTCAGTGAAAGTTTGCGGTGACACCATGAGAAAAATCTCTTTTGCGATGAAGAGTTTAGTTGTGATAATTGGTGTCGAGATGACGCTTGTTCCACGAGAATTTTAACGATTTCTCAATTTTGTGACCTGAGCATTACTTTTCTGCTTGATGCCGACAGTTCTGTTGTGGTGCAAGCAAATCGCAGGTCGACCTGAGGCTGGCTTAAGCTTTTTACAGACTTAAAAATCTTCCTACAACATGTACAAGAAAACCTTAAGAGATGCTGCAGGGAACAAGTTGGAGGTGCTGCTTAGCACAGAATTTTGCTAAGTTCAGCAAATATTTGCTCTATTAAAAACAGCTTACGAGTTTCAGGCAATGTACACAGCATGCGATTGGTTCCCAGCGGATTTGCGCTTGCACAAAACATTGACAAGCAATAGGTCTCTCAAATGACATCATTTCCTACAGACCAGCCACGCGTATCGGCATTTTGAGCGTCAACTTGCATAATGCATATCGGCTGTGTCGTATTTCGAACACATTTCGAGCAACAAGCGTGCATGTTTGGAACATTTTCAACAAAGCGCAATGCGTGCTTGATTGCGTAAACTACGCAGTTGCAGAAGAGATGGCCATCTTTGAGAGAGATCTACATGTATATATTCTGCTCAGCAACTCTGTGGAATAAGGCTCAGATTTTTCTAGATAAAACAGTCCACTCTTACCTTTCATGTCATACACCGTTAGTCCTGACTTCAGCACCTCGGCATGTTTGAGGTAGCCAGGTGGGTAACCTAGCCCCCGCATCTGGTAGATGTAAGGAGGAATGCTGTCCTGGTCCAGGCCCAAGGCTTCTCGAAGATTGTCGCTTTGTAGTGGAGGGGGTGGGAGGAGACAAATGGAAATAATCTCACTCACGATTGTTCAAACACAAAGTGAAAAAAAAGTTCTGCAAATCATCAAAACAATTCACACCCATCCCTATGTGATTGATTTTTCGTTGTGCTGACAGAACACTTACCTTTTTTGTGATCTGTGGACAAACTTTAAAACCGCGTTTGTGTTAAACTTCCGTAACTTGAGTACATGAGTGATTTGAATGATTCTTGTACTAAAAGAAAGCTTATGAATTGGGCTTTCATATCCGAGATTTTGAAAGTGCTACATGCAGAACTTCACTAAAACAATGGTCCCGACATTTGGGTTTCGGTTTTTTTTACTCACCCTGTATTGACATTCTACTGTTTTACTAGTTAAACCCTCCTCCCCACTGCCCCACCCCTTGGTTTAGTCCACTAGGCCCTCAGCCTGGGGGTTTGGTCAGTATCAAATCAGGGCATAAATGATTATAGTGCGCATGCGCAAGGTATACCGCCCCTAGAGTGGTTACAAGGATTTTGATGGACATTTTTTTAAAACAGGGTGACACCACCCAAAAAGCTGCCACCGCTGCAATGCTATCACATATTTTCCAACTCTGGAGGAGTATACCTTGCCAAAAATCGCTATGATGATTATTCCCCTCATTTGATACCGGCGGCGAAAATTTTGGACCGAGGCTGATGGCCTAAACTGAGTAGGGAGTGCCTCACCTGATCTGACCCGGTTTGAAATGGTTGAATCGATGGTCCCGACCTCCCTCCTCACCATCGTGATGGTATCGCTGTTGCAGCGAGAGGTTCACAGGGCCCTTATCCATAAACTCTTTCCTGGCCATGCTGATCTTGACAGGATCTCTCGGCTGAGTCAATGATCCAACAAAAAAACAAAAATACAAAACATTAGAAAAACTAGAAAGCACTCAGAGAGTGCACAAACCTCCGCCAAGGCTATACAATTCCCCGCCATATTGTCAGTACACCAAAGAGAAATACTTGCATAAATGGTGAAGAATCCTTAAAAATGTCCTGGATCCAGACCCAGATCCGGATAACTTCCAAAATCTAATCCATTTGTACTTGTACCAAGGACCACCCCTATAAAAGGTTTCATGCAAATCCGTCCACAACTTTTTGAGTTATCTTGTTAAACAGACAAACCAACCAACCAACCAAACAACAAACATTACCTCCTTGGCGGAGGAAACAAGACTATTCTCCACCTTATTAGGAGGCATATCAAGAGTAGCATTTTCACGATCATGACAAGAAGCATGACTTTGTTTACTGGTTGAGCCTTTTCACAACATCGCTTCTACTAATAAAGGGCCCATGCAATGTAATTTTTTTCATGCAATCCTTGAAAATGGACCTTTTGTGTCCCCTTTAATTTTATTTTCAATTTTTGCTGTGCTATTTTAAATGGTGTTTTGGGGCCTTTTCGGTTTTTATGCTAATTTCATGTTCATGAGTAAAACTGTGATGTCATTCTGAGCACAGACCTCAATGTTACAGCTATTTCAGCACAAAAAGTTGCTAGAATTTTGGATATTTTGCTGTCGTATATTTTCTTTTCTTTGGTGATTCGTTGTTGTGTAAGTGCATTGCAGTAAGCCAATGAGCAACCCTTTCTCACAAATGTTTTCAATGAGCAAATTTGGATTCACAATTTGAACGGGAAAGCCCTAAACCGAACAGTCTTCCTGGAATGACATCACAGCAACGGCACATTGTAAGTTAAAGCACAATGAAGGTTTTGAACAAAAGTGACTGCATGTAGAGAGATGAAATATCTGTACTATTCTGTGACAACTTACGTAGGGGCAATCCCGTAGCGAATGGTCTTCTTTGCCACAGTTCCAGCAGGTTGCTTTACTGCGTTTTCTTCATATGGCAAAAAAAAACACCAAACAGAGGCATTGTTTATCATCTTCATATTACAGCCGAGTTCAAAACAAAGTTACTTTTGTTTTTAATAAATGGGGAAATGTTTACAAATAGCCCTGTTGAGAAATGATGCTGAACATGGTGTGCTGGATTAGATATTTACATGTAGACACCATAATGTCTAAATCATTTTATGTCATTGCATTGCATTGTCTTTCGATGTAACAAAACCTGTACAATTTGCTTGGTACGTTTTGCTTTGTAGTAAACAAACTTCTTTTTAAAGTATTGAGTCAGCAAGCAGCCGTGGTAAAAAATATTGATTATGGAGTCAAACTCAGTGTCAAGAATACCACACTTTTAACAGGGATCATGGTACTTGTGTTCTCGGGCAAGGCACTTTACTTCGATTGCCTCTCTATAATAACCGCATACCTATGAGGATTTGAATAATATATTTCACTGATCTAAAACTTCTAGAGGACAAAAAACCCTGAACTTATTGCCCGCTAACATGGCTAAACCCAGAGAATTAATTACAAAGCAGAGCAAGCTGTTACAAACGTCAAGCTAAACCAAGTGGTTCTTCTCAAAACCACACAACTCACTAAGAGATACCGTTCACATGGTGTTACCCCAAACATCCCATTCATTAAATACAAAACACTTGAAGACACATAAATCCAACATTATTATTAGAAATATTCTTGAAACTTAGTATGCAATGCACGTCACTGAAGATACACAGAAAATGTAATTCATATGGCACATTCTTCAGTGGTACAACAAATATTTACAGAAATGTAGTGGAGGATTAAAACTGGTCCATCTAATAATACTTACGCTCGATTCTGATTTGGTTTCTCAGTCTCATCAATTGGAAGCGCCTCGTGGAATATCACAGGATAACTGCAAGATTTTGAGGAAAATGGAACTGATTGATGCAAATATTGCCCAAATTTTGTCTGCACACAACTTTCTCATTCAATCTCAAAAGCAAGTAATTTTTTGTTCGTGAACATAACAGATACGAAACGGAAGGCAATGCCCTACATTGAACGCGTACAGTGAAATGACCCAAACAATAGTTTGGCTATTCTTTTGCCCCCACCCCCCTCCAGTATGTTTCAATTGTTGCAATTATGAATGTAAAAGAAAAACATCACAACAGAATGATAAATATACAGTGCTAAATCTTTACACAACTGTACTTTTTATTAGAATCCAGGAAGGTGATAAAACTTGATTAGTACCGTAGTATACCACACTGTCTTGCAGTTGAGTTCTTTCTTAAAGGGAATGTACATCATTGGCTTTTGCTGTAATTTTCAGAAATGAACTATTTGAGGGGTTAGTATAATAGATCAAATATTGTTACACTGATATGTTTGAAATTTTGTGCTCGAAAATGATGGAAAAACCAAGAAAAACAAAAATGTTCAAGTATTCTGGTTCCCTGACCCAACTAAAGATAAAATGGATCAATTTATAGATGCCAGAAAATTGTAAGGTAAGGGAACCAGTCTAGCTGTTCTGCACCCGTTAATGAACATGTAACAAATAGCAAACAAAATTTGGACTGAAAAAAAAAAGGTAAATTTGGAGCAGTAGTTGAAAAATAGTTAGGTTTTTCAAACGGTGGTCGGCTGACCACCGTTGGAAATGTATACAAATATACATTTTTCTTGAAAATGACTTCACACCTGGTGCCATAATTTTACAGGATGCTTTAGACTGTCATTTACCAACATTCTAGTAAGGTATTTCCTAAAAACTTGGTATTTTTTTTTCTCGATGTTTGCAAATGTTGTATATTCCCTTTAAAGACTACAACTACAGTAACAGAAGAGGTGCATTAGAACAGTAGTAATCTACATGTACATGTGTATGTATTATGAAGTAGTCGATTACAACTGCATGAGTGCAATTGACCTATCGCCGTTTGCGAGTAAGCCACGCCCCTTAGACAACCCTATGGCGTTTTTGTACACTACGTTTTGTTTGTCTCAGATTTTGCACGTTCCGCGTCCATTTGTATATCATGTAATTGGACAATATTTCACAAGCTGCGTTGACGCGTCCTAACGCGATTCTAACGCGATAAGTCAATTACAGGTACAGTACTGGAGTATGAGTACCGGCACATACAGACTGCAACAAGCATAATAAACCTGGTTCCAGATTTTACCGTTTTTTTGTACATTTTGTACTTTGAAAGTTACATTGGAAACAATTGTGGACATGTCTCAGCAAAAGTGTGAACCTTGGAAAGGATACGATGGTACGTCCCATCCTGCAGTGAGCTGTGGGTTGCCATCCACCAACGGCCTACCCAGGTTGTCGAGGCAGAACCTCTGGTAGTATTGCACATTGCCGGTCACCGTGAAAGATTCCTCAGACATGCTGCCTATCAAGTCCTTCCGCAAAATTTTGGATGATCTCTGAGGAAAAAAAAAGAACAGGGTGGAGAAACCAATGGAAACTTTGCATTGGACGATGTAAATTTAATAGACCTCTCTCAAATGACGTCACTGCCTAAAGTTTGTAACGTGCATTAATAATAATAATAATAATAGCGAAGTCTTATATAGCGCACTATCTACCAACAATTAGGTACTCAAGGCGCTGGAAATTATGTCTATTTTATTACAGAAAGGTAAATAAAGAATATGTATATATGAGAAATATGAGACCCATTATGTAGCACCTCATAAGGGTATACAAGGTGCTGCGGCGCATATTGCAGCCACTGCCAGAAACACCGGGGCAAACCCCTTCTCTCAGCGATAAGTGTTACTGGGTTCTTTAACGTGCATTACACAACACACGGGACCTACGGCTTTACGTCCCATCCGAAGGACGAAGCAATAATGGTAAAGTGCCTTGCTCAAGAACACAAGCACCATGTTCCCACGGTCAGGATTCAAACCCATGTACCACGGCACACGAGTAAAAAAAACCGTAACCATTGGCCCACAGCACCCCACACATTTGCATTTTAGGAGTCAAATTTTCGTGACACGCATCGGCTGTGCCATCGTTGTAGCCGCGTCCTTTGCAATTCAGCATACCAGCTGCGAGTAAGGATGATTAGCCTCCCAAATTATTATTATTATTATTATTATTATTATTTCAAAGAAATATCAAGTATAAACATGCACGCATGTTTAGAACATTTTGCACACTGCGTGCACATGCACCTGATGGCGTTGAATACGCAAAACTTTGTTATTTTCCTACCAAGATGGCGTCCTTTGAGAGGGGTCTATATGTGACCCAATCCAACAAAATGCATTTCAAGTGCCATTTTTCTTTATTAGTTTTCACTTGCATTATATACAGATATGAGGTGGGTGGGTCAACTGTTCCTATAGATTTCAATGGGTAAGTTTTGTTAGCATACAAGCACGGAAAACCCTGACGAGTCAAAGGATAATGCCGTGACGAACTCAATTCGCTGAATCAATGGTTCTAAACACCGTTCCATCAACGTGCCGAATTAGAAAAATTTTAATTATTGAGTTCGGTACAGAAGTAGCATAGGATGACCTTGGTACATGTAAGCCTTGGTCTTCGACAATAGTGTCCGATGATCGATGGTCGGCTGCTAATTACGGTAGCTGCACGCTATGCAATAACACGTATTGTCTAAGCGGGAATAGTGAACCTATACTGCCACACTGAAACCCATTCCACGGAACCGAAGGACTTGCATTTTAATGGACTTGCACTTTAATACATTCATGACCATTGCCGTTAATTTTAAAATTATTTAAAGACTGCATTAAACTTTCAAAAGCACATTTTGCTAAATACACTGAAAGAATTTATTGACTGCAATTTCTTTGTTTGATTAGGTACAGCAGCAGTGCGCGAGTACCAGTCTTAAAAAAGGAACACGTACAAATATTGTCTAAGCGGGAACAGCGACCCTATACTGCCATACTGAAACCCATTCCACGGAACCGAAGGACTCGCATTTTAATGGACTTGCACTTTAATACATTCATGACCATTGCCATTAATTTTTTAATTATTTAAAGATCGCATTAAACTTTCAAAAGTACACTTTGCTAAATACACTGAAAGAATTTATTGACAGCATTTTCTTTGTTGATGAGGTACATGTACTGTAGCAGCAGTGCGCGAGTACCAGTCTTAAAAAAGAAACACGTACAAATGTTGTCTAAGCAGGAACAGCGACCCTATACTGCCATACTGAAGCCCATTCCACGGAACCGAAGGACTTGCATTTTAATGGACTTGCACTTTAATACATTATAGACCATGTTATAGACCAAATTATTTAAAGACCAGATTAAACTTTCAAAAGCACATTTTGCTAAATGCACTGAAAGAATTTATTGACAGCAATTTCTTTGTTTGATTAGGTACATATGTAGCAGCAGTGCGCGAGTACCAGTCTTAAAAAAGAAACACGTACAAATATTGTCTAAGCGGGAACAGCGACCCTATACTGCCATACTGAAACCCATTCCACGGAACCGAAGGACTCGCATTTTAATGGACTTGCACTTTAATACATTAATGACCATTGCCATTAATTTTTAAATTATTTAAAGACTGCATTAAACTTTCAAATGCACACTTTGCTAAATACACTGAAAGAATTTATTGACAGCAATTTCTTTGTTTGATTAGGTACATGTACCGGTAGCAGCAGTGCGCGAGTATCAGTCTTAAAAAAGAAACACGTACAAGTATACATGTTGTTAAAATTATGAACAGTCTCTACATGTAGTTTCAATACATGCTGCCACTTTCAGCTGCTCAACTGCACTGGCCTAATGAAAAGCTTCATCAACTAAAAGTCACACCTGTTGAACAGTGTGTGCAATTTGACTAATTACCTCAAGGTGAATGCTAATTAACTACCATCTCGTCCATCAGACAGTCTTCAGATTCAGGGGTAAAGCAGTGAAAATAATTTTTGTGACCACGTTTACATTTACAACAAGCAGTCTTGAAATTCAGTCGTGGAGTTCTCAAAAAAATGCAGACAGGAAAGAGTTGGCAGATTCTCCTGCTTGTAATTGTGGTCATCACAGACCACAATTTATTCGCTGACGGCCGATGCCGACGACTCCCCAGGTACACATTCTACGACTGCCAACCACCGTGGCAAATGTTTGGAGACAACTGCTACTGGTATGTGGCTGCGCCAAAGAGTTATGACTCTGCCGAGCAACACTGCCAGACCAACTCCCAGCCGGGCAGACCTGCCCACCTGGCGTCCGTACTCAGTGACGAAGAGGCCCAGTTCATCAAGGACTTGACTGGAGGCGGGAACGCCTGGATTGGATTCAACGACTTGGCCGTGGAAGGAGTCTACACCTGGTTGGATGGAAGTCCCGTTGACTACACCAACTGGAGGGCCGGTTTTCCTGTCGGCGATGCCCATGGGGATCAGGACTGCATCCATACGTTGGAAGACGCAGAATGGAAGGAATACTTCTGCTCGGAGGATGTGAATTCCATCTGCAAGATGCCCAGGTATGCTTTGGCCTAACTGCCTTGACTGCCTTAATATTACTACGTCATCATCAAGGTAAGTTTGTCACATTCCATATTTTTAATTATCTTAAAATTAATGTGGCCTGACGTTGCGAACTTAGCAAGTTCTTCTTCAGAGGCTAAAACATTTCTGTTTTAGCCTCTGAAGAAGAACTTGCTAAGTTCGCAACATCAGGCCACATTAATTTTAAAATTTATATATTTCAGGTCCATCCAGTCAGTAAGCAGTTTGCAGCAGTTTTCCTTTTTCATATTTTTAAAAAATATTTCCACGATATGTGACCTTATCCCACAAAACGAGTCTTAAGGACATTCCACTAATTCGCTTCCAGTATGCTTGGACAGAGCTCTTCATTTTGATATATATGACAAAGCGACATCCCCCCCCCCCCCCCCAGTTCTGTGGAGGGAGTCTAGTATACAAATATTGAGTAGCTCAGCGTTGAATGGGAGGAAGATTATCGCAGGGTAAAATCTGGACTTTTCCATTTCACGAGTCGAAGCCGAGTGAACTGGGAAAGTCCAGATTTTACCGAGCGATAATATTCCTCCCATTTCACAACTTAAAGTCACTCAATATTTGTTTTATATAACTGACATATAGATCCTTGTCATTTGATATATTTGAACTTTTTTTCAATACAAAACTGGAAGAAAATGTATTTCTCTCTTCCAAACCACTCCTTCACGAAAATGTTTGAACCCAACGCTGTAGCGCTGGCTCTTTGGAACAATACGCGCTACGCGCAACGCTGAACGCACACACCAGCATGCATTTAAACACAAATACTGCGTCATGATCCTAACTGTTGAATAGTACCAGTACATGTATTTCCCATTCCCCATGGGCGGATAGTACTTTTTGAGCCGCGGCATGAATGGGAACAACAACGAATGCCACGTGATCCACCAATCAAATGACAAGGATCTGTATGTCGGTTATATAATAGCGAATACTTACCCATAGAACCACTACTGATGCATATTTCCCTAGAGGGCACAATCATTCGCTAAAAGAGTTCACACAAAAGCCTATCCACTATCCACCATGCCCCTTTGTGTACCCGCCATGTTCTTTCTCTTTACTCGAGAGCCAGCAAGTAAGGATCTGTATGGAGCAGGTAAGGATCTGTTAGGAGCCGTCAGTTGGGAGGAGGGAGGGATGCTCTACGGGTAAGTATTCACTCCCCCCACACAACTGTGGGGGAAAGTCCACTGCACTCTACTTAAACCGTAGAGCAACTACAGGGATGAGATTGCCCATCTTAAAAAAGTCTGAAAATCGAATGAAAGGTCTGAAAGATGCATTTCCTTCTATACTGATAATGTCTTCCTCTCAGATTCACGTGTGCCACGCTTGTGGATCGCGGTATCCGGTGCAAAAGATTGGAAATTTGTGATTTTCCGCTTATAAAGCAGCAACATATCTATATGTGGTTGGTTGATGTGTGCAAATATCTGTTGCACTACCTTAGGTTGCAGTGTCCATTCCGTTGGACACTGCATCGGTGACAATGTTGTCTTTGCCTGAAATATGTGTGGCTATCCATGAAATGTTGAATTTCAGGCACCAGTGGAGTAGTTCCCATGTGAGAAGGCAAAGTTGTCCCTACCGAGTGCCTCCCTTGTAATTGAAGTACAACTGTGGTGTTGTCGCATTTGATAAAGACCACCTGATTTCTGAATACTTGGTGCGAAATGTTTAAGTGCACTAATAGTTGCCTGCATCTCAAGGACACTGATGTGCCAATTAAGCTTGTTAATGTTGGAGCCATATTCCCGCTATTTGACGAGGATTTAACATGGCTCCCCAGCCTGACCGAGAGGCATCCATGGTCATGACCATTGTTGGCCCACTTGCGGACTAACTTGGTCCGAATAGTGCCCTATGTACAGGGTAGAATCATATACAATCAACTGTATCCAATGACCCGGGTCGGGCTCGGCATGACAAACAAGATATCCCTCATAAAGTGAGTCACCCTCCTGCCTCACTGCCAACTATTCCATTCACCCATCTGTGATATTTTCTGATTCGGATGGCGATTCGACAACAGGAGATGTTAGATCCACATCGCCTCCACGTGGTGGCAGGAATTTCACTGGTTAAGCTGAGGCATGTTCCAGAGACGGGTTCATCTGATGAAGATGATGTTGATAAGCATCTCCCTTGGAAACACAACTGCGTCTGGTCCATCATCCGTGTTCTTGGCTTACCAGAGCCTCCACCTCAGCAATCCTTTGAGCGCCAGACGGCATCGGGGCCACTAAATGGATGCGCTACACCCTTTCTTACCTTACCCTTGGATCAATATTGTACCAGAGCACATCCAATCTGTGGATGAGACTTAAAAATGGAAATTGTTTGACAAGCATGCAAGTTAGTATTTTCCCTTTTCTGCGAAAGATTTTGTAAACTACTTGTCCATCCCTACCTTTCCTGACTCCGCCAAAGATAAGCTGACTGCAGACGGGACAGGATCATGTTCCACAGAAGGACTAATTGCCGACTGAACCAGAGGTTCAGAAGTTGATGAAGGCAGCAACTACGCTCATTGGGGCCACTGATAAAATCAACCTGCGCAAGCCTGTTCTAAGTCAGGGTCAGACTCAAAGAAGACAGGAAAATCAATGGCGACCTTCCAAGTTCTCCCAGAACTCCCCACACAGACTTATCGGGGAAGGACCCAAGATATGCCAACCACCCCAACCAACCAAGTGGTACTACCAAAATCAATCCACCAAGCTGAACTTCATGGCCTCCCGTTTTTGTGGTGGACGGCGAAATGACTTCCTACCATTATGGCAGGCCCCATAGCTGGATCCTTGGGGGCCGCCTTCAAAAACTTTATAGGGTCCTGGTCAAAAGACGTCTCCAATCACCGTGTGCTGAAAATAGACAAGATACAAAAGAACCCCTCCTTACTGGACGCAATGGTTCACAAAACACAGATTCCATCCGATCAAACCAAAGGCATTGCTCTTGAGGTAGAGATCAAGTCTCTTCTTTCAAAGAATGCGGTTCGAATAGTTGATCCACGGGAAGAATCACCAGGTTTGCAATCAACTTTTTTCCCCTTTACCAAAGAAAGGAACAGGAACATGGCGACCAATCTTAAATCTTGAAACGGATTCGCTCATCCAAAAAGATTTGCTTGGACTCCTTACGAGCAGTTCTGGACTCAATTCCAATACCAGCATGGGCTGCTTCCCTGGACGTCCAAGATGCTTACCTGCATGCTCCAATTCTTCCTTGTCATTATCAATATTTGCAATTCCTCTACAAAAAAGTGATGCATGAGTTTACAGCCCTTTGTGACAGTAAAATTTTGCCTCTAAACTGTGACATTTTGGAGACATTGAAATGTCTCCCTAATGCCAGGTGTCTCCCTAAGATTAAATTAATGACGACAAAATGTCTCCCAAAGGTACAATTAACAGGTATAATAACAATAATAATATTAAAAATGAAAATATGGAAGGCTAGTCATCCTTTACTCGCAACTGAGAAGGGCACGGCTACAATGTGGTCGAGCCGCAGGCATGTAGAGCGCCTTTGGCAGCCAGCCATAATTATATGACCATGGAGCACAGCCAGAGATCAAAAGTGTTTGATTTTTTTCGGAGGGACGAAAACCGGAGGGCCTGGAAAAAAAAATTGTGGCACAGAAGAGAACCTATGCACAACTCCACTCACGTGGTCCTGGCCAGGAAGAAACCAGGGCCACATTGGTGAAAGGCAAATGCTTTACGCACTATAGCCACCCATGCAACCCTATCTGCTCTGTTCACAAGTACCTCTCACCGGCAAAGAAAGTACAGTTGGGGGTGACCGACTGACACCATCTTGCCTGACTGCAATTTTGCCGCGACGCACGGCCATACCACTGCGTCTTTCATGAGTTTTAATGTAATTTAAAATGCTTCCTTTTCTCAGTAAGATAAATTGACTGCAATACAATCTGTACAATAATATGTATTTCTTTAAATAGACAATCTTCCTTAGTCAGATTTGTATGCACAATAGTTTAGTCGGAAAAGGGGGGTATCGTGCACCCTCGGAAATCAATTTCTAATCAACGTTTCTAGGTCAGAAAAAATGCGTAGAAAACGATTTGCTATGTTAAAAAATTCAAAAAATGTCCCACGTATTGTTTTTATGCAAATTAGTGCCGCCATTACCGAAAAATCTATTTTTAATTATATCTCTGCCAATATTGCAGATAACTGAACGAACCAGGTGTCTAAACCCATGTTTTCAAGGTCAGAGATCACAATAAAACTATTCTGGAAGTGACCACATGCGTCTGTGGCATAGGAATATGCAAATTAGTGCCACTAATACCGGAAAATCATATTTTTGGCATATATCTCGGCCAATATAGCACATAACTACACCAGTAAGGTGTCTAAACCCATGTTTTGAGGGTCAAGTATCATTAGAAGACCATTCACGAAGTAACTATATGTGTCTTTGGCATGAAAATATGTAAATTATAAAGTGTCGGTTTATCAGATATTTGATTTTTAGCCAATATCTCAGCCAATATTGCACTTAACTACACAAGTAAGGTGACTAAACCCATGTTTTGAGGGTCAGGTATCATTAGAAGACCATTCATGAAGTAACTATGTGTGTTGTTGGCATGAAAATATGTAAATTTAAATTGCCGGTTTATCAGATATTTGATTTTCAGCCAAATTATATTCAATTTCAGCCAATATTACAGTTTATTTTGAAAATGATGGCTTAAAATAAACTTTGATCATTATTGCTTATCAAAACCCTTCTGTCAACATTAGCTGCAATATTGGCCGAGATATTGGCTAAAAATCAAATTTCTGATAAATCGACACTTTAGAATTTACATATTTACCTGCCAAGGACACACATAGTTACTTTGTGAATGGTCTTCTAATGATACCTGACCCTCAAAACATGGGTTTAGACACCTTGCTGGTGTAGTTATGTGTTAAAAACATGACTTTCCGGTATTTGCGGCACTAATTTGCATATTCCTATGCCACAGACACATGTGGTCACTTCCAGAATAGTTTTATTGTGATCTCTGACCTTGAAAACATGGGTTTAGACACCTAGTTCGTTCAGTTATCTACAATATTGGCTGAGATATAGTTACAAATAGATTTTTCGGTAATGGCGGCACTAATTTGCATTAAAACAATACGTGGGACATTTTTTGAAATGTTTAAAGAGAATATACAGCATTTGCTTTTGCTGTAATTTTCAGAAATGGATGGAATTGGGGGGTTGGAAATATAAAGCAAATATAGTTACACTGACTTTTTGGAGGTTATGGGTTCGAAAATGCTATAAAAACCTAGAAAAACGATCATTTTCCTGTAGTCTGGTTCCCTGACTCCATATAAGAAGAAACAGAGCAGTTTACATACATTGGGGAATTGTAAGGTCAGGGAACCAGTCTAGCTGGCTCGTACCCGTTCATAGGTTTGTAATCGATTGCAAACAAGTGCAATGGTCAATTGGGGCCAGTATTTGAAAAAAAGCCAGTTGTTTCCAACGCTGATCGGCCGATCAGCGTTGGAAATTGATACAAAAATACCACTTTTCTTGAAATAACAGTATACCAGGTGCCATAATTTTACAGGATGCTTTAGACTGTCATTTACCAACATCCTATTAAGGTATTTCGCAAAAACTTTGTAGTTTTATTTTTCGATGTTTGCAAATGTTGTATATTCCCTTTAACATAGCAAATCGTTTTCTACGCATTTTTTCTGACCTAGAAATGTTGATTAGAAATTGATTTCCGAGGGTGCACTATACCCCCCTTTTCCGACTGAACTACAATGTTTAAACTTTTTCAAATATTAGTATTTAATGTCATGTTTTTATTATATACAAACACGGCAGGCCATTTACCTTTAAAAATGTACTTTTTTTTAAATGTAAATCACGTGCAATTCAGCTGTGGCTGCTATTCGTGATTTGTTAATAAACCATGTTGAATTGAATTGAATTGAATTGAGTGTACATAGTGCAAATCCCCTGGTGTACATGTACATGTACGTGCGTCACACACAAGGAACAGTGCGCGTCAACCAGCTGAATGTCCCGCCCATGGGACGTCGTTGCTAGGTAAAAGGGCAATCTCTTTCGTTGGCGCACGGAGCCCATATCTAATTTATAGGCCTAAGTGCCAATCCCATGCGACCCCATATCTAATATATAGGCCAATATCATAAGTGCCAATATCATTTATAATGTACCAGTATTGCTGGTATATTACTGAAACCAATGAGACCGCAACTAATGGACTCCCAAGGACGACCTGGGGTTATACGCAATTACAGTAATATGAAATCTAACAATATCTGCAGTAAATGTGTAACATGTTGAGTGAATTTTTTTTATGAAAGTTAGTACTGATGTGGTACCACATTCCATGCGTGCTTTCCCCTCATACTTAAAGTTCAGGCACATGGCAAATTTGATAACCATTAAATTTGTGTGTTACCATACTACTGAAAGATCAAATTAAACTTTTAGCAACCCACTTAACGGTACAAGTAAGGTGCATTTGCTACTCTGAAATAATTCATTTGATGGCAATTTTGTTGGGTAATGCATTGCGCAAGTGCCAATCTTAAGAGAGAAAAAGACACGTATATAAATATAGTTTGGAATTATGAACAGCCACAAAGTTTCAATACGTGCTGCCGCATTCAGCTCAGCTGCTTGACTGAACTAGCCTAATGGAAATGCTTAATCAATTACCAGTCATACCTGTTGAACTGTGTGTTGCAATATTTGCCTCAAGGTGAACGCTAACCGACTACTACCGTACACTAGTCCATCAGACAGTATTTGTAATTCAGGGGTAAAGCAGTGAAAATAATTTGGGTGACACATACCGGTACACCAAAGCGTCTAGAAATTCAGTCGTGGAGATCTGAAAAAAAAATGCAGAGAGGCAAGCGTTGGCAGATTCTCCTGCTTGTAATTGTGGTCATCACAGACCACAATTTATTCACTGAGGGCCGATGCCGACGACTCCCCAGGTACACATTCTATGACTGCCAACCGCCGTGGCAAATGTTTGGATACAACTGCTACTGGTACGTGGCTGTGACAAAGAACTACAACTCTGCCGAGCAACACTGCCAGACCAACTCCCAGCCGGGCAGACTGGCCCACCTGGCGTCCGTACTCAGTGACGAAGAGAACCAGTTCATCAACAACTTGACTGGAGGGGCGAGCGCCTGGATTGGATTCAACGACAAGGCCGCGGAAGGAGTCTACACCTGGTTGGATGGAAGTCCCGTTGATTACACCAACTGGAAGCCTGGCTGTCCTGTGGGTGATCGCTATGGGAATCAGGACTGCATGCAATTGTTTGGAGGGCCTCAATGGAAGGATTACTTCTGCGGGAATACACTGAAATCCGTCTGTAAGATGCCCAGATATGCTTTGGCCTAAACCACCTTGACTACTTTGGTATGTACATGTATGTTATCTTTAAAGGTAAACTTGTCGCATTCCATATTTTAAAATCAAAATTATACTTTGTAAAATATTTCCACCATGTCTGACCTGATGAATCCTATGAACATTTCACCAATTCCTTGTCCACGTGCCCAAGAAAGAGCCCTTCACTTTGATGTTCACATAGTTTGTTCTGAACCATATTTGACAGGTATTATTGATATACAGTGTGCAAAATTTTGTTTAATGAACTCAAAAGAAGGTCAGGCAAATTCAACTCATCAGTTTTGTTAACGTTCGGTCACATACTGTAGTGTACTGCTCTGGTACATGTATATCTTTTGAGTCTTCTCAGCTTTTTCCCCAAAACTCTCTCCAGAAAGCCAAAAAGTTATCAAGATATTTTGGAATAGTATAGCAAATTGTACTTTGGGAATTGTTCCCATTTTCCCCACAAAAAACAGCCTTGCACTTTCGAATTCTATACTTCGCTCTCAAATCTGTCAAATTTCTTTAAATGGTCAACGGATAACAAAGTTCTTCACTGATTCTAGTCAAACAAAAACAAGTTGATTTTTTTTGTTTCAAGCAAAGACCACAGTGAAGAAAAGTCTGGTACAAATACCCTCGCCAGAAAAAAATGTATCATTCCTCATGTACACATACCTCGGTCTTACGTAGTTGGAAGTTGTGACAGGAAAACTTCCAAAAACCAGACTTTCTTCCAGTTTCAGCGCGTCAAAACAGAGACTCATGCCAGGATGAATTCAGTTTGTTTATACATCGAGAGTAGATTTCAAATGTACCCACGCTTGGTCCTAATATATGTAATGGACTGTGTTAGAAGGGCCCTAGTCTTTGACATGTGAGCAGATTTGTTGATACATGTAATTATCCAAAAGAACCGTCTCTTTACCTCCAAATTTTGACCAATCAGCAGATGCTATTGGGTCTTTGGTCATTCACCCTTTGTCGCGCCATAAATATGACAGGGGGGGGGGGGGACCGAGGAATTTTACTACAGTCAAAATTTGCACTCAGTGTACACACAAAAATGTACATGTACCCCGTGTACAAGATAATTATGCTTGAACAAAACCAGCACCAACTCCACGGTGCAGTGTAATCCCCGAATGAATTTGGAACCGGGAACTAACCGTGTACAGTGGACTAACCACTGTACAGGTACATGTATTTACTGACATCTCAACATATCCAGTTGTCAATGTTCTTGGTGACGGCCAACATATACGTACATTTCCAATAGCATGTGTTTCTCTGCAGGCATATTTTCATTTTCAATCGTTCAGAAGTATTGAATGGCTGCTGTACCTCATATTTTCAGTAAGCAGTCTTTTTCTTGAACTGCATGCCCAAATTAATTTTCCTGAGACATAAATGTCACATCCTGAGTATGGCACAGGCTTGTTTGCTCTATACAGCCCTTCTATTTTCCAGCATACTCCCCTGGCAAACAAAGTCAGGCAGTCTGCCAATCATTTCCATTTCTCAAAGCGAGCAAACCAAATCAATAATGGCAATTTCAGGTACTAGTTCTATTACCAGACTGACTCCGTCATGCAGACTAATGTATGTGCAACAGACTAGGAGGGTGCTTCATTGAGTACATGTACATGTATGTAACCATCCATAATACAGGTCGATTCCTTCTGCAAAACATTTTTCATTGCTGTGAGTCTTCGGTATATAAGCGTCCAAAACTACACGTACATGTAGCATCGTTGGGCAATCTTGTTGGAGCCTGTGGCATTATGCTGAGCAAGTCTGCGTTAATCATGTTTAAGGAACTGCATTACTGATCTTCATTTAAGCTATTCTGCAGAGCATTTCCTGACATGAACTTCATACATTTTTGTAGATAAACGCATTATATGACAACTGCACCAATTAGTAGGCAACGTATGTTTGGATTATTATATTTACCACATTTGCAGACAGATATCCAAACGTATGACATCAAGATAGTTGTGAAATTGTTGTGGATTCTTAAAAGATGAGAAAATTTTGGCAGGTCCTGATGGTCTTGTTTGCCATCCTTAACCGGAAGTCACTCGCGGATGGTCCATGTCGAAGAATCGCCAGATACACCGTGTACGACTGCGAACCAGCGTGGCAAGCATTCAAAGACAACTGCTACTTGAGGGTTGCCGAGGGTAAGAACTACACCAATGCTGAGCAACACTGCCAGAGTTACTCCAAGCAATGGAGACCCACTTACTTGGCATCCATACTCAGTGATGACGAGAACCAGTTCATTGCTACCCTGATTGACAGCAGCGACACCTGGATTGGATACAATGACTTGGCAGTGGAAGGAGTCTACACCTGGTTGGATGGAAGTCCCGTAAGCTACACCAATTGGAAGCCTGGTTTTCCTGTCGGTGATGCCTATGGAAATCAGGACTGTATACACATGTTTGAAGGGCCTCAATGGAAGGAATTCTACTGCGATGGGAAGATGAACTTTGTAAGATGCCAAGACATACCTCTGTCTAAGAGGACAGACTCCCGATAGCTGACTTAGCCAAAGGTAAGTTCAATACACACAATCAGGACTGCAAAAATATCCCCTCATCATGTTCTTCCAGTTTCAGTGCGACAAAACAGTAGACTCATGCCTGAGGACGAATTCAGTTTGTTTATACATCGAGAGTAGATTTCAAATGTACCCACGCTTGGTCCTAATCTATGTACTACATGTACATGTATGTTCCGTTGAGAAGAGCCATGGTCTACGATATGTAAGCAGATCTGCTGATTAATTATCCAAAATAACCATCTCTTGACCTCTAAATTTTGGCCAATCAGCAGATGCTATTGGGTCTTTGGTCATTCACCCTTTGTCGCGCCATAGATATGGCAAGGGGGAGGGGAACCAAGGAATTCTACTGCAATCAAAATTTGCGCACAGTGTACCGGTACATGTACCGGTACATGTATGTACATTGTACAAGATAATTATGCTTGAACAAAACCGGCACCAACTCTACAGGGCAGTGTATTCCCCGAATGAATTTGGAACCCGGAACTAACTGTGTACAGTGGACTTACCACTGTACCGGTACAATTTACTGACATCTCAAAATATCCAGTTGTCAATGTTCTTGGTGACGGCCAACACACACATTTCCAATAGCATGTGTTTCTCTGCAGACATATTTTCATATTCAATCGTCCAGAAGCCTTGAATGGCTGCTGCACCTCATATTTTCAATAAGCAGTTTTTTTCTTGAACTGCATGCCCAAATTAATTTTCCTGAGAATAATTAACGGCATAAATGTCACATCCTGAGTACGGCACTGGCTTGTTTGCTCTATACCCACACCATCAATACAGCCCTTCTTTTTTCCAGCATACTCCCCTGGCAAACAAAGTCAGCCAGTCTGCCAATCATTTCCATTTCTCAAAGCGAGCAAACCAAATCAATAATGGCAATTTCAGGTACTAGTTCTATTACCAGACTGACTCCGTCAGGCAGACTAATGTATGTGCAACAGACTAGGAGGGTGCTTCATTGAGTACATGTACATGTATGTAACCATCCGTAATACAGGTCGATTCCTTCTGCAAAACATTTTTCATTGCTGTGAGTCTTCGGTATATAAGCGTCCAAAACTACACGTACATGTAGCATCGTTGGGCAATCTTGTTGGAGCCTGTGGCATTATGCTGAGCAAGTCTGCGTTAATCATGTTTAAGGAACTGCATTACTGATCTTCATTTAAGCTGTTCTGCAGAGCATTTCCTGACATGAACTTCATACATTTTTGTAGATAAACGCATTATATGACAACTGCACCAATTAGTAGGCAACATATGTTTGGATTATTATATTTAACACATTTGCAGACAGATATCCAAACGTATGACATCAAGAGAGTTGTGAAATTGTTGTGGATTCTTAAAAGATGAGAAACGTTTGGCAGGTCCTGTTGGTCTTGTTTGCCATCCTTAACCAGAAGTCACTCGCGGATGGTCCATGTCGAAGAATCGCCAGATACACCGTGTACGACTGCGAACCGGCGTGGCAAGCATTCAAAGACAACTGCTACTTGAGGGTTGCCGAGGGTAAAAACTACTCCGATGCTAAGCAACACTGCCAGAGTTACTCCAAGCAATGGAGACCCACTCACTTGGCATCCATACTCAGTGATGACGAGAACCAGTTCATTGCTACCCTGATTGACAGCAGCGACACCTGGATCGGATACAATGACTTGGCAGTGGAAGGAGTCTACACCTGGTTGGATGGAAGTCCCGCAGGCTACACCAATTGGAAGCCTGGTTTTCCTGTCGGTGATGCCTATGGAAATCAGGACTGTATACACATGTTTGAAGGGCCTCAATGGAAGGAATTCTACTGCGATGGGAAGATGAACTTTGTCTGTAAGATGCCAAGACATGTGCCTCTGTCTAAGAGGACAGACTCCCGATAGCTGACTTAGCCAAAGGTAAGTTCAATACACACAATCAGGACTGCAAAAATATCCCCTCATCATGTTCTTCCAGTTTCAGTGCGACAAAACACTAGACTCATGCCAGGACGAATTCAGTTTGTTTATTACATCGAGAGTAGATTTCAAATGTACCCACGCTTGGTCCTAATCTATGTAATGGACTGTGTTAGAAGAGCCATGGTCTATGATATGTGAGCAGATTTGCTGATTAATTATCCAAAATAACCATCTCTTGACCTCTAAATTTTGACCAATCAGCAGATGTTATTGGGTCTTTGGTCATTCACCCTTTGTCGCACTATAGATATGGCAGGGGGGGGGGGGGGAACCAAGGAATTTTACTGCAGTCAAGATTTGCGCACAGTGTACCAGTACATGTACCAGTAATGGTACATGTACAAGATAATTACGCTTGAACAAAACCAGCACCAACTCTACAGGGCAGTGTATTCCCCAAACGAATTTGGAACCCGGAACTAACCGTGTACAGTGGACTAACCACTGTACCGGTACAATTTACTGACATCTCAAAATATCCAGGTGTCAATGTTCTTGGTGACGGCCAACACACACATTTCCAATAGCATGTGTTTCTCTGCAGACATATTTTCATATTCAATCGCTCAGAAGTATTGAATGGCTGCTGTACCTCATATTTTCAGTAAGCAGTCTTTTTCTTGAACTGCATGCCCAAATTAATTTTCCTGAGGATAATACGACATAAATGTCACATCCTGAGTACGACACAGGCTTGTTTGCTCTACATGTATACCCACACCATCAATACAGCCCTTCTTTTTTCCAGCATACTCCCCTGGCAAACAAAGTCAGCCAGTCTGACAATCATTTCCATTTCTCAAAGCGAGCAGACCAAATCAATAATGGCAATATCAGGTACTGTTTTAATTACCAGACTGACTCCTCATGCAGACTAATGACTTGGCTAATATGTGCAGCATACTAGGAGGGTGCTTCATTGAGTATGTAACTGATCCATAATACCGGTCGATTCCTTCTGCTAAACCTGCTTCATTGCTTTGAGTCTTTGGTATAAGCGTCCAAAACTACACGTAGCATCGTTGGGCAATCTTGTTAGAGCCTAGTGGCATTATGCTGAGCAAGTCTGTAATAATCATGTTTAAGGAACTACATTACTGATCTTCATTTTAGCTGTTCTGCAGAGCATTTCCTGACGTGAACTTCATAGGTAAATCCAAAATACGCCAACTGCACCTGCTTAGAGGGTAACACCTGATTGGATTATTACATTCACCACGTTTGCAGACAGATATATCCAAACGTATGGCTTCAAAAGAGTTGTGAAACTGTTGGGGATTCTTGAAAGATGAGAAAAGTTTGGCAGGTCCTGTTGGTCTTGTTTGCCATCCTTAACCAGAAGTCACTCACGGATGGTCGATGCCGAAGAATCGCCAGATACACCGTGTACGACTGCGAACCGCTGTGGCAAGCATTCAAAGACAACTGCTACTTGAGGGTTGCTGAGGGTAAGAACTACTCCAATGCTGAGCAACACTGCCAGAGTTACTCCAAGCAATGGAGACCCACTCACTTGGCATCCATACTCAGTGATGACGAGAACCAGTTCATTGTTACCCTGATTGACAGCAGGGACACCTGGATTGGATACAATGACTTGGCAGTGGAAGGAGTCTACACCTGGTTGGATGGAAGTCCCGCAGGCTACACCAATTGGAAGCCTGGTTTTCCTGTCGGTGATGCCTATGGAAATCAGGACTGTATACACATGTTTGAAGGGCCTCAATGGAAGGAATTCTACTGCGATGGGAAGATGAACTTTGTCTGTAAGATGCCAAGACATACCTCTGTCTAAGAGGACAGACTCCGGATAGCTGACTATTAGCCAAAGGTAAGTTCAATACACACAATCAGGACTGCAAAAATATCCCCTCATCATGTTCTTCCAGTTTCAGTGCGACAAAACACTACACTCACGCCAGGACGAATTCAGTTTGTTTATACATCGAGAGTATAGATTTCAAATGTACCCACGCTTGGTCCTAATCTATGTACTACATGTATGTACCGTGGAGAAGAGCCATGGTCTATGATATGTAAGCAGATCTGCTGATTAATTATCCAAAATAACAGTCTCTTGACCTCTAAATTTTGGCCAATCAGCAGATGCTATTGGGTCTTCGGTCATTCACCCTTTGTCGCGCCATAAATATGGCAGGGGGGGGGGGGGGAACCGAGGAATTTTACTACAGTCAAGATTTGCGCACAGTGTACATGTACCGGTACATGATGTACAAGAGAATTATGGTTGAACAAAACCAGCACCAACTCCACAGTGCAGTGTATTCCCAAAATGAATTTGGAACCAGGAACTAACTGTGTACAGTGGACTAACCACTGTATCGGTACATGTATTAACTGACATCTCAAAATATCCAGTTGTTAATGTTCTGGTGAAGGCCAACACGTACATTTCCAATAGCATGTGTTTCTCTGAAGACATATTTTCATAATCAATCGTCCAGAAGCATTGAATGGCTGCTGCACCTCATATTTTCAATAAGCAGTCTTTTTCTTGAACTGCATGCCCAAATTAATTTTCCTGAGACATAAATGTCACATCCTTAGTACAACAAAGGCTTGTTTGCTCTATACCCACACCATCAATACAGCCCTTCTTTTTTCTTGCATACTCCCCTGGCAAACAATGTCAGCCAGTCTGCCAATCATTTCCATTTCTCAAAGCGAGCAGACCAAATCAATAATGGCAATATCAGGTAATATACTATTTTAATTACCAGACCGACTCCTCATGCGGATTAATGACTTGGCTATGTGCAACATATTAGGAGGGTGCTTCATAGAGTATGAAACTGATCCATAATACCGGTCGATTCCTTCTGCAAAACCTGTTTCATTGCTTCGAGTCTTTGGTATAGCGTCCAAAACTACACGTACATGTAGCATCGTTGGGCAATCTTGTTAGAGCCTGTGGCATTATGCTGAGCAAGTCTGCGTTAATCATGTTTAAGGAACTGCATTACTGATCTTCATATTAGCTGTTCTGCAGAGCATTTCCTGACATGAACTTCATTGATAAACGGAACTGCACCTGCTTAGAAGGCAACATCTGTTTGGATTATTACATTCACCACGTTTGCAGACAGATATATCCAAACGTATGGCTTCAAAAGAGTTGTGAAACTGTTGGGGATTCTTGAAAGATGAGAAAAGTTTGGCAGGTCCTGTTGGTCTTGTTTGCCATCCTTAACCAGAAGTCACTCACGGATGGTCGATGTCGAAGAATCGCCAGATACACCGTGTACGACTGCGAACCGCCGTGGCAAGCATTCAAAGACAACTGCTACTTGAGGGTTGCCGAGGGTACGAACTACACCGATGCTGAGCAACACTGCCAGAGTTACTCCAAGCAATGGAGACCCACTCGCTTGGCATCCATACTCAGTGATGATGAGAACCAGTTCATTGCTACCCTGATTGATAGCAGCGACACCTGGATCGGATACAATGACTTGGCAGTGGAAGGAGTCTACACCTGGTTGGATGGAAGTCCCGCAGGCTACACCAATTGGAAGCCTGGTTTTCCTGTCGGTGATGCCTATGGAAATCAGGACTGCATACACATGTTTGGAGGGCCTCAATGGAAGGAATTCTACTGCAATGGAATGATGAACTTTGTCTGTAAGATGCCAAGACATACCTCTGTCTAAGAGGACAGACTCCCGATAGCTGACTTAGCCAAAGGTAAGTTCAATACACACAATCAGGACTGCAAAAATATCCCCTCATCATGTTCTTCCAGTTTCAGTGCGACAAAACAGTAGACTCATGCCTGAGGACGAATTCAGTTTGTTTATACATCGAGAGTAGATTTCAAATGTACCCACGCTTGGTCCTAATCTATGTACTACATGTACATGTATGTTCCGTGGAGAAGAGCCATGGTCTACGATATGTAAGCAGATCTGCTGATTAATTATCCAAAATAACCATCTCTTGACCTCTAAATTTTGGCCAATCAGCAGATGCTATTGGGTCTTTGGTCATTCACCCTTTGTCGCGCCATAGATATGGCAAGGGGGAGGGGAACCAAGGAATTCTACTGCAATCAAGATTTGCGCACAGTGTACCGGTACATGTACCGGTACATGTATGTACATTGTACAAGATAATTATGCTTGAACAAAACCGGCACCAACTCTACAGTGCAGTGTATTCCCCAAATGAATTTGGAACCGGGAACTAACCGTGTACAGTGGACTTACCACTGTACCGGTACAATTTACTGACATCTCAAAATATCCAGGTGTCAATGTCCTTGGTGACGGCCAACACGTATATTTCTAATAGCATGTGTTTCTCTGCAGACATATTTTCATAATCAATCATCCTGAAGCATTGAATGGCTGCTGCACCTCATATTTTCAATAAGCAGTCTTTTTCTTGAACTGCATGCCCAAATTAATTTTCCTGAGAATAATAAACGACATAAATGTCACATCCTGAGTACGGCACAGGCTTGTTTGCTCTATACAGCCCTTCTTTTTTCCAGCATACTCCCCTGGCAAACAAAGTCAGCCAGTCTGCCAATCATTTCCATTTCTCAAAGCGAGCAGACCAAATCAATAATGGCAATATCAGGTACTAGTTTAATTACCAGACTGACTCCTCATGCGGATTAATGACTTGGCTATGTGCAAAATACTAGGAGGGTGCTTCATTGAGTATGTAACTGATCCATAATACCGGTCGATTCCTTCTGCTAAACCTGCTTCATTGCTTTGAGTCTTTGGTATAAGCGTCCAAAACTACACGTACATGTAGCATCGTTGGGCAATCTTGTTAGAACCTAGTGGCATTATGCTGAGCAAGTCTGTAATAATCATGTTTAAGGAACTACATTACTGATCTTCATTTTAGCTGTTCTGCAGAGCATTTCCTGACGTGAACTTCATAGGTAAATCCAAAATACGCCAACTGCACCTGCTTAGAGGGTAACACCTGATTGGATTATTACATTCACCACGTTTGCAGACAGATATATCCAAACGTATGGCTTCAAAAGAGTTGTGAAACTGTTGGGGATTCTTGAAAGATGAAAAAAGTTTGGCAGGTCCTGTTGGTCTTGTTTGCCATCCTTAACCAGAAGTCACTCACGGATGGTCGATGCCGAAGAATCGCCAGATACACCGTGTACGACTGCGAACCGCCGTGGCAAGCATTCAAAGACAACTGCTACTTGAGGGTTGCCGAGGGTAAGAACTACACCAATGCTGAGCAACACTGCCAGAGTTACTCCAAGCAATGGCGACCCACTCACTTGGCATCCATACTCAGTGATGACGAGAACCAGTTCATTGTTACCCTGATTGACAGCAGGGACACCTGGATTGGATACAATGACTTGGCAGTGGAAGGAGTCTACACCTGGTTGGATGGAAGTCCCGCAGGCTACACCAATTGGAAGCCTGGTTTTCCTGTCGGTGATGCCTACGGAAATCAGGACTGTATACACATGTTTGGAGGTCCTCAATGGAAGGAATTCTACTGCAATGGAATGATGAACTTTGTCTGTAAGATGCCAAGACATGCCTCTGTCTAAGAGGACCCGGTAGCTGACTTAGCCAAAGGTAAGTTCAATACACACAATCAGGACTACCAAAATATCCCATCTCGCGGCAAAAAAATATTAAGGCAGATATTACGAGGTTACATTATAATAATAACAATTATAACTGGATTTAAAGAGCACTAAATTGCTAAAGGTTACAAGGCGCCAAATTGCCAAAGGATACAAGAAAAGAGGACAGCCAGCTATGATTTGGAGAAAAGATGGGTCTAATTGAGAGCCTTTTTGGAGGACAAAACACTGCTTGAAATTCTGATGGGGTGGGTAGGCTATTCCATAACCCGGGTGCGGCAATGGAGAAGGCCCTGTCACCAGCCTGTTTACCCGACTTGTGGATGACAAGGGACACTCCAGCAGAAGAACGCAGGGAGTGAGAACAGTTCTGGACTAGAGGGGAGATAAACTGGTGCAGAGTGCGATAATCTTGAGCCTGTTTACATGACCTTTGGATGACAAGGGACATTCCAGCAGAAGAACAAAGGGAGTAGGAACAGTTCTGGATTGTAAAATCAAGAAGGGAGATAACCTGGTGCAGCGTGATTTGTAAGTGTGCACCAATGCGCGAAACTGAATGTGTTGGGCGACTGGGAGCGAGTTTAATTGTTTGTCACTTCTAATGCCTTTCGGTGCAACGCGGGCCCCCTTTGCTCGAATTGAAAAGAATCAATCAATCATGACTCGCTTGTTTAGGAGTCAATTCTTTCTAGCAGACGACTCTAGCTCTGCACAAGTTGATTACAATGGCAGATGCTGTTAACTTTAAACAGAGGCTCACTGAAGTAAGATCAAATTCACACAAATTTTTTTTTTATATGCAGCCTATAGCTAGTCTAAGTAAAGATCCAGGTTGCAAAGCAAGGGTCTATCATATGTGAACCGATTTGCTGATTAATTATGCAAGACAACTGCCTCTTTACCTCTAGATTTTGACCAATCAGCGGGCGCTTTTTTATATCGGGTCTCGTCATAGTTATCTATAAATAAAACCTGCCAATTTAGCAAAAAAGTCCAAGGTCACACGTTCTTTGACAAATATGTTACGCGATATGCCGGCAATAATAGAGCTGGCCATCACAGTCATGTCTGGATCAGTATGCCATTGTTGCTTTTCAAAAACACTGCAACTGAATCGACCAATCACAGTTTTATGCCTGATTTGGGAATGAAATGACATCATAAACTGGTAAAGACGACTCCGATTGGCTTGTGCGCGGCGTCGCATATATGTTTGTATCGGACGTTCAACTGGAGTTAGGGCTCAGTGGAGAATGGGTGATACTCAGACCAGCCTACAGCATGCAAGTGCATCACAGGCTACATTGTGGTGTATTTTTGCTGTAAAAACTGTGAAAAAAATATTCTGATTGTAAAAGTACAGAAAAAAAAAGGAAATTCCATACCACACAAGACTGTACAGTATCCTTAAATGTGTCATGGCATTCATGAGAAGAAAAGACAATTATAAAATAAACAGATCCAAGAAAAAGTTGCATGTCTGCTTAACAATGAGGTCATATCGTGGATATGATATGTCATAAGTGAAAGAAGATGTGGGGTTTTTTTCTATTCTTTGGCTGGGAAACTTAGTCGTCTACTAGCTTCGAACAAGATGAGAATTAATAATTGTGCACAGAATCAGTATCAAATGTGGTAAAAATAAAATATCCTTCCTCACTTCAGAAAATTGGGCTTGTTTTTCAGGAGACCACGTCTCTACAGTATTAAAACTAAAGCACAAAATCACTGTGCACTGATGGTGCCAACCACATTTTTTTCTTGAAAGTAATGGCCACAATGCCAATGGGCATACGCTAGGTGTAATATCATGAGAAGAAATTAAATTATCTGAAGACTTAATTGATGTATTGCTATATCGTAGCTGTATCTTTGCTTCACAAGAAGAAATTAAACTACCTGCAGACCTACATGTAATTGAATTATTATTGCAATATCGTAGCTGCATCTTCGCTCTCAGGCCGTTTCTGGGCCAACTCATCACAGTCACAATTTGTTGCTCTTAATGAGAAAAACGGTGAAGTAAAATATGCATAAAGGTTTTCTTCTGGGTTTCATACACAATGTATGAAAAAATGAAGGTCAAATCGTGCAGTCATTTGAGCCATTAGGCATTTGCCTGTAGGGACAGGCAAAAGACAGAGGGGTAAAATGGACCTTTTTAAGACTTACTTTAGCACACAACTGAGCTACAGCATTACATCCCTCCCTTTTCAAGCAACAATGAACCTACACACTCCAGTTAAAATGGTAGAGCCCATTGTTCACAAGTTGGCCTACTTTCATTAATGGCCTGTGTAATTACTGCTATAACAATACACATCTCAGCAGTCCGCTCTATTCGTCTCCATACGTGTACATGTAAAAAAAATAATAATAATAAATTGGCTGTATCCAATGAAAACAGCATCCATCGTGCGACTATCAGACAACAGATGATGCAAGAGGCGAATACTGCAACAAAATCGCTCCTTCTTCAACATCACGGAGATAAATGCAATTGAAGTGTACCAGCCTAAAGGTTGCATGTGGTTCTAGCTTCAAATCATAAAAAAGTACTGATATTTGTCTGGCTTCATTTAAATTTGAGCAGCTTGGCAAAATTAAGCTTCAATGATGGAGGCAAAATAAGTCCCTTCTGTGGCCCCTCAACTTGAAGAAAGTAACAGCTTCTGCCTGAAGGTGTGTCCGTTTAAAAAATAATTTGTGGGGGCTTTTTTCGAGATTGATTCTAGAGGTAAGATGCCTACCGGTACTTGGTCAATGCTGGTAGCCTTACTTCTGTCCCAACCCACACCGCTCACCTGCATATGTCGACATATTGCAAGGGTCAATCTGTACGACTGTGAACCACCATGGCAAGCATTTCAACACAACTGCTACCTGTATGTTGCAATGGCGCAAAGCTACAATGCTGCGGAGCAACACTGCAAGAGTTACTCCACGCAAGGCAGAGCCGCTCACCTGGCATCCATACTTAGCGAGGCCGAAAGCCAATTCATCAGCACCTTGACAGGTGGCCGTGACACGTGGATCGGATACAACGACTTGGCCGTGGAAGGAATTTACACCTGGTTGGACGGAAGTCCTCACGGATACGAGAACTGGAAGCCTGGATTTCCTGTTGGCGATGCCCATGGAGATCAGGATTGCATCCATACATTTGGAGGACTTGAGTGGAAGGAATACTTTTGCTGGAATGGAATGGCTTTTGTTTGCAAGATGCCCCAATATGACTACCAATAACTCTGATCGACCTTAAAGACGCTGGCGATGCCTTCAGTTTGGGTAGGTCACACTGATTTCAAAGTTTCTTTGATATTGAAGATTTCAATTCATATTTTTTTAGCACTTGGTTAGTCAGCATCAAATGTGTTGGAATAATCTGAGCTGAGAGTGATGTAAAATCTGACACAAGTGGAAAATTACAACATTAAACACTAAGGAAGTAATGATTAGGTTCACTTGTCCCGACTGCATATTATGATAAAAAAAAATGGGGCGGGCACGCCACTTTACCAAAAAAACTTTACAAACATTTCAGGCTATATATAGGTCCCGCTGAGTTTGTAAACAAAAGTTGTTTATACATGTAAAAAAAAAAAGGTTTGATAAAAAAAAGGGGAACGGTGGAATTGAATTTGGGATTTACATGTACTTGAGGTTGTACAAATGTGCTCAAATTCTTTGAACATTTACTGTAATAAGGAAAGTCTCACAGTGTTTTTTTCCCCAACTTTCACTCGGAAGGTAACACACTGAGTATACAGTGTTTATACGTCGGTGAAGGGCAAAACCTAATTTGATTTACATCACCCCGATGCAAAAATTCTTCTTATGAAAAATAAGGAAAATGTTTGAACCCTAACTCCCTAGGGGGTGTGCAAAATTGTATTGAAATTGGAGGATTAGCCCTAACAGTCCTGAATCCTCCAATTTCAATACAATTTTGCACTATTGTACATGTGCATTCAGTACATGAGGAATATGTTTTATTCACATTGTACTGGATGGTAATACTTGATGCACGCAATGAATACATCTAGTCTAAGGAATCAAAATTGGGTAATCTGCAAATAACGGGTGAGCAAATCAATGTTACAGACTTGAAACCGTTACCACTACACCTTGCACATGAATTTGATCAGCTTTTCATCAAAAACACACACGTACCGGGTACCAGTTAACTGACAGTATGTATACATGCTTGCAACCCAGCTTTCAGTGGAGGGTAGAGCACCATTCAATTACAATCCACAGCTAAACACTACATGCACGCAAAAAATTAAAACTCAAGGCCAAATCAATATTAAAACCCATGTGTACTTAAGATAAAAATAACAAAATAATTGCCAGCAGACGAAAGAGTCAGATGTCTTGCTATTACGTCAAACGCAGCAAAGTCAAGCGATTTGTCTCCCTAGAAACAGACAGTGGAAGCATAAAGCATGGAGGGATATCACAATGCCTGCCTGAAAAAGCCGATATTTTTTTTCACAGTCAATTGTATGCTGAAGGGTTCTGACTTTCCAAGGACATTTTAAATAATAAACAACAAAGCAGCTGCACACGTGCAAGTCATTTCAAGTCTAGGCCGAATCGATTATTACTTTCTAAGTTAAAAGGCTCATGTAGGAAACTAAATGAACACAATAAGAAAGGGGTATATGGTGCTGTCAAACTCAGTGAATCCCGACCCTGACCCTGTATTGCAGCTGATCCGGCAACAATAGAATATGTATAATTTGTTTTTGCTGGGTAGTTCAATGGTTAATTGCTACACGTACCAGCCAGCCCTGCCAATCACTTCAAAAGCAGGCCAAGTAAATCAATAATGACAACCTCAGGAATGAAATTAACGAACCGACTCCACTCTGCCAGTAATTACCGTACAGGTGTATCAGATACGACAGTGAGATGTGTTTGCATTTGGATGGTAACTGACTTGCTGTACACATTTTTTTTGTGTGGTAATGTGGGTCTTCAAGCCACATTGAGGGGATCTTAGGGAGAATTCCACCGTGACATCCTTGAATGCTTTTGATAACGACTTCTGGGACTACGCTGAATGAGAGTGTTTTAATCAAGTTTATTGTTTTGCTGGATTGATCATCATCACGTTATTGCCAATGAATGCAGAACCTTGGTGTTAAGTGCCTGATTGGAATATACACAAAGACTTCTTGAATTGCACACAGAAGTGAAAGACCACTTTTACAGACTATTTGCACGCCATGTCCCTCCGGTTGTTCCTGTTCTGCACAATCTTGCAGTTCCCAAAATTTGTCGACAATTGCTCTTATCAAGTCCCCAGGAAAATGCAGTGTGAGCCACCCTGGTTGGCATTCAAAGGCAGCTGTTATCTTTTGGTGACCGAAACAAAAAACTACACTGATGCTGAGAAACACTGCCAGAGTTACTCCAAGCAAGGGAGACCATCTCACCTTGCATCCATACTCAGTCAGGAAGAGAATGATTTTGTGGGTCAATATGTACTGTCTGTACTCCCTGATTATCCTGGAATCAACACGTGGATCGGATACAACGACCTGGAGGTAGAGGGTACTTATTCTTGGTTGGATGGCAGCCCCATTTCGTACCAGAATTGGCGTCCTGGTTTTCCTGTTGGCGATGCCTTTGGGAATCAGGACTGCATCCATATTTGGATGGATAAAGAATGGAAGGAATATTATTGCGCGTGCGATAAAGTCATGCGATCAGTGTGCAAGATGCCATGTTTTGCTGCAACAAATCCAGCAACTGATTCAATATGCAACATGTAGAGGAATATGGCATTCATGATTACTAAAGGTGAGTTTAACTGACATAAAACGAAGCTAATTTTTAAAACAAAAAAATGACGATCCACAAATCTTTATGTTTGCTTCAGTTGGAATATATCTATAGGAAATATTTTATTCCCTTTTTTTATTTCTATTAGGAATCAGAAATAAAAGGAAATGTATGTAAATGAAAAAATATGATAAGAAATTGTTATGCACACATGGAATACATGTAGTTGCACATATCTGCTTCCAAACAAGGATGGAATAACATCAAAATAGTGAAGTTTCAATTTTTCTGGTAAATGTCCTACATGAACATTGTAATGTGGCATTTTTCTCTGCAGACATATTTTCATACCCTGGAAACACCCTCGGTATGAGCAAAATGATGTATGGCTGCCAAACCCGATATTTTTAATATGCGGTCTGCCTTGAAAGGCAGGTCCAATTATCATTTCCCCCGACCTTTAAACAGGCCTTCAATTTCAAATCATGAATACAGCACTGGCTTGAGTGCTCTTTAAGGGGGATCTGGCAACACAAACAATACAATATATTATATTTGATATATCCCCTGCAAATTAAGCTAACATGGCTGCCAATCTTTTCCACTTTATTAATGCTGGCAATCAATCATGGCAACTTCCAGTATGAAATTAACACACCAACATTCCAACACCACTTTGCCAGCACATAAAAGTGTAACTTGGGTATCAGATTTGAAAATCAAAGACTTCAACGAGCTTGCAGTTCCATGTTAACCAAAGATCCTACACACAAGGATTAACGACTTAGCCAAACTCCTGGTTAGACGCGTGATAACAATCTGTACAGGTGGGAATATCACGAACACTTGTCAACAAAGATCCCTCTCTGCGCCCGATCTGCCGGTGTCGAAGTCAGTCAAGCCAGCTAATTTTTGAATATTCATGATCCTATATGTTATTGGCCTTTATTATTGAATTCTGATAAGTGATAACTACATGTTAATGCCAAGCACAATATCTGTAGCTTTCAAATGAACTATGAAATGTTGTATTTTTTTTATCGGATCGAGACAACATCTCTCTAAAACTTTTTAATGAAAGCCTAATTAAAAAAGAGATTTGGGTAAACGGTGTTCTCCTCGGAAAAGATGTCACGATTGACGTTTATTTCCCGGGTTTACATGCACTTCATCTATGACGACAAAAACTGCAAGTATATCTTACATAAGGAGTGGTTTTGCTTCAAGTTTTATGAATATTTACGTTTTGATGGCAAGTTTTATGAATATTTACGTTTTGATGTCATGCAAAAACCGACAAAATGGCACACCTGGAACATTCGCAATTAACATCTCAACGGGTATTAAGGCCCATTATCACACGTCCAACCAAGTAAGGCAAGTCTGTTCTGTGCATTTTGTACTAGAGCTCAGAACAGTCGTTCATCCTTGTCGTGTAGGATCAGTTTATGATAAATAACAACATTTCATTAGATTGTTCATTATCACATAATAAATAAGAACTAAAATGCTGCTGAAAAACACTACCAGAGCTTCTCAAAGCAAGGGAGACCATCTACTCAGCCAGGAAGAGAATAATTTCATGCGTCAATATGTACTGTTTGAAATTCCTGATTATCCTGCTGTCAACGCATGATTGGATACGATTTTGAGGTTGAGGGTGCCAATTTTTGGTTGGATGGACTGCACCCGATTTCACGAAGCGCTGCAACGCGTCGCAACTCGAGTTACAACACGTAACACGTCGCAACTCGTGACGCGTAGTATCATCCATTTCACGAAAGTTGCGATGTGTTGAACGTGTCGTAAGTTCCTTGACAACAGCTTAAAACACGTTGCAAGTTACGACGTGTCTAGTGGTCATCGCAAAATAAGAATAGTCCCTTTTTTAGCCAGTATAATGCCATAAACATTTCATAAACAAGATTATAATACCAAGGCAATGTGTCTAAAGCTGTAAATAAAATAATCATTGAATAATTATGAATTAGACTGGAAAATTGCAGTTGAAATTTCAAAGTAGCTAAACAGTCCACTGAGAGCTTGTTTTCCTTCAGAATTCTATCACAATCAAGTTTTTTGCTCAGTGTGCAAGATGCCAAGCTTTGTAGGAACAAATCTAGCCATGCTGGATCAAGATGCAACATGCAGGGGAAGGTGTTGCATGTTATGTTTACATGTATTTATGATTACCTGACGTGACTTGAACAAACACAATACAAAGCTGAAGTATTAAAACAAGAGATCTCTTTTGTCTACTTGAGTTGGTTATTGAGGCAATCTTGATTTACTGTACATGTATGTGTACTGCTTGGTTCAATCAAGATTAAGAAATTATAAAAAAACAAGTCAGGTGTGTTTACAAACACAAATGCCCCGCAACCGTGACTGTTTCCATGACATAACACCACTCTAACATCAACTTACATGTACCTTGGTCAAATGGAACGTTCATTGACAGCATTAGTGTCTTCTGTAGGTTTTATATGAATTAATCCCTAATCCCTATGATCTCAGAATAAATACAAGATTTCTATTGTTTTAGCCACTGTGACCTTGACCCTTGACCTTTTGACCCCCAATGCGATAGGCTTCTTAGGATTGCCAAGGACAATCCACAAACCAAATTTGAAATTCATATGTAAAGTATTTCTCAAGTTATCGCGCTGACAAAATTTCTATTGTTTCAGCCACTGTGACCTTGACCCTCGACCTTTTGGCCCCAAATGCAAAAGGCTTCTTAGAATTGCCAAGGACAATCCACAAACCAAATTTGAAGTTCATATGTAAAGTATTTCTCAAGTTATTGCGCTGACAAAATTTCTATTGTTTCAGCCACTGTGACCTTGACCCTTGACCTTTTGGCCCCAAATGCAAAAAGCTTCTTAGGATTACCAAGGACAATCCACAAACCAAATTTGAAGTTCATATGTAAAGTATTTCTCAAGTTATCGCGCTGACAAAATTTCTATTGTTTCAGCCACTGTGACCTTGACCCTTGACCTTTTGGCCCCAAATGCAAAAGGCTTCTTAGAATTGCCAAGGACAATCCACAAACCAAATTTGAAGTTCATATGTAAAGTATTTCTCAAGTTATCGCGCTGACAAAATTTCTATTGTTTCAGCCACTGTGACTTTGACCCTTGACCTTTCGGCCCCAAATGCAAAAGCTTCTTAGGATTACCAAAGACAATCCACAAACCAAATTTGAAATTCATATGTAAAGTATTTCTCAAGTTATCGCGCTGACAAAATTTCTATTGTTTCAGCCACTGTGACCTTGACCCTTGACCTTTTGGCCCCAAATGCAAAAGGCTTCTTAGAATTGCCAACGACAATCCACAAACCAAATTTGAAATTCATATGTAAAGTATTTCTCAAGTTATCGCGCTGACAAAATTTCTATTGTTTCAGCCACTGTGACCTTGACCCTTGACCTTTCGGCCCCAAATGCAAAAGGCTTCTTAGGATTACCAAGGACAATCCACAAACCAAATTTGAAGTTCATATGTAAAGTATTTCTCAAGTTATCGCGCTGACAAGATTTGTCCGGACACACACACCCACACACACCTACTTGTTTCACATGACTAGTGTGGACTTTCCATTGCTTTCGTGTAGTTAAGAAAAACCAGTGAAAAAACTCATTTTTCTCAAACTGTGAAAACTCTTTCAACCCAATTTTTTTTCTATGATTCCCTTTAGTGTTTCTCTTCATTCTGCTACAGATAAACCTAACCCAAAAATGCCTCTAAACCTGTTTTCCAGAAATGGGGAAACACTGTGTGGACGTGGGGTAAGTCCACACAACGTCGGTGCTACCTACATTATGTGGACGTCTTTTGTTCGGAAGTCCACACTGCGTATGTAAGACAAACTCACCCACCCACCCACACATGTTTCACATGACTAGTGTGGACTTTCCATTGCTTTCGTGTAGTTAAGAAAAACCAGTGAAAAAACTCATTTTTCTCAAACTGTGAAAACTCTTTCAACCCAATTTTTTTTCTATGATTCCCTTTAGTGTTTCTCTTCATTCTGCTACAGATAAACCTAACCCAAAAATGCCTCTAAACCTGTTTTCCAGAAATGGGGAAACACTGTGTGGACGTGGGGTAAGTCCACACAACGTCGGTGCTACCTACATTATGTGGACGTCTTTTGTTCGGAAGTCCACACTGCGTATGTAAGACAAACTCACCCACCCACCCACACATGTTTCACATGACTAGTGTGGACTTTCCATTGCTTTCGTGTAGTTAAGAAAAACCAGTGAAAAAACTCATTTTTCTAAAACTGTGAAAACTCTTTCAACCCAATTTTTTTTCTATGATTCCCTTTAGTGTTTCTCTTCATTCTGCTACAGATAAACCTAACCCAAAAATGCCTCTAAACCTGTTTTCCAGAAATGGGGAAACACTGTGTGGACGTGGGGTAAGTCCACACAACGTCGGTGCTACCTACATTATGTGGACGTCTTTTGTTCGGAAGTCCACACTGCGTATGTAAGACAGACTCACAGTCGTTTTTTGCTATGCTTCCGAGGATTGGCTTTGTGTTTTCCTTTGTCCCTGTAATATAACACTCTCCCATAGATTAAGCACACAAACCTGCGTTCGAGGACAATAGGCACCTTCCTTCGAGGATCAATGGCCCCTTTGTGCTCCTTTTGTTGTCTGTCCTCAGGCGTAATGCCATGCAGGAACACACCCACCCACCCACCCACGGAAGGACAAGGCGGAAACAGTATGCCCCTTCGGCTTCGCCGCGGGGCATAAAAATAAAGCAAAATGCATACATGTAGTTCATGAATACAGACTTGATACTTTTCGCTACTTCTAACCGAGGAAGGACTAACCACTGGATGGACTGGCATACATGTTTATTGGGTAAAATATCTCAAAATATCCAAGTTTCAATTTTCTGGCTAAAGGCATAATGTGCATTTTTAATGGCCCGTTTGTTTTTTTCTCTGCAGACCTAAGTGTATTTTCAAACCAATATTCTCAATATTCCACAAGCATTGTCTGGTCGCCGCACTGCAAATTTTTAATATGGAGTCTGCTTTGAAGGGCAGGTCAAAATAAATAACTGTTTCCTGAGTCCTGTTTGCATTATCAACATCATCAATCCAGTTCATTTCTATGCTGTTTACGTCCCTGGCACACAAAGCAAGCCAGTCTGTCAATCATCTCCATTTTTAAATAGCAGGCCAACCAACTCAATAATTGCATTTCCAGGTACATGTACATGTATGAAATATTAGGCAAAAAATATGATTTATAAAATCCATTTTTTTTCCCAAAAGACGGGCCTTCAAAAGGATTTTGTTGAATATTTTTAACTTTTAAACTGCGGTTTTATCACTGATGATGTTTGAAGACAATTGTGATGACGATTCTTGAAATCACATTTTTTTGGTGAAAGAGGTTTTAGGGTCATTGTGTTTAAATCGTGATATACTTTGAACGGATTGAGCAATTTCGGTAATTTGTTCATCTAAAAGTAGTTTTTGAAATTGGCTTTCTAGTCATTATTGTTTTTGGTGCTACATATTTCTAAATAATGACACATTTTTTTGAGGTTTGGGTCCCCCTTTTCTTACTCACCCTGTATATGTGCCGAAGGCTGGATAAATCAAGTCAAGACAGCATCGGCACTCTGTGTTTGAGAAAGTCCATTTCTTTTTTCAATATATTGATTTGCTAAGAAAAAAAGGAAGGTCTCACTGCCATTTAGAGTCAGTTCAGTCAAAGTCAGTTGCTAAACAGTTCCAAGGGGAAATCGAATAGTTAAAACATGCCAAGCAGCCACACTTATACCACTAATTGGTACTCCAGACATGCAAAGGAAAAATCAATTCTTAAACATTTAGCGCCAAGGTTCGTGTAAAGGGAGAGGGTGCTGTTTGGTATCACTTTTGGTTCACAATAAGGCCGAAACAAAGAGTTCTGCTTCCAATTACATGGCATTCGCAAATAGGGTAGGTAGGTAGGGGATTTTTTTTGGGGGGGGGCATTTTTTTTGGTTTACGGTTATATGGAGGTGTCTGCATGTAGTCGAGGGTAAAAGGTAGCAATTGATGGTTTTGGGTGTTTTTCCCCTCCTTTTTCCCCATAAAAAAAAAATTAGGGTAAGGGCTGTCAGAATAGGGTAGGTACCAGTAGGGAAACCGGACGCAGATCAATTCTTTTTTAGCCCAAGCAAGACGCCACTTAGTTTCCTTGGTAATAATCAATGGAGACGGATCAATGGTAATTAAAGAGGAGGGGCAAAACAATTATACAGGTACCTTAGTGAAAAGCAGTGATTTTATTGAACAGCCAATCATGGGATGACATTACTGGACTGCTCCAGTGAAAGTGATCGTATTGGCAACTCCAAACAGTATTCATACGTTTTTACATGGTTTATGTTGTTGAAGAACAAGTACTGCTCATGTCTGTAGAAACACCAGTCTGATTGTACAGCGCATTTGAGATAGATCTGTTCAAAAGTGAAAGCTTGGCCAAGTTTGATCATTATCAAATCCCAATTCCGATATCATCATGTCTGAGTTGTTACTTCTGATTTGCATATCGCTGCAACTTGTGAAGCATGTCGATGCATGCTCTGATCAATTCATGAGGAAAATACAGTGTGATCCACCCTGGCTTGCATTTCAAGACAGCTGTTATCTTTTGGTGACAGAGACAAAAAACTACAATGATGCTGAGAAACACTGCCAGAGTTACTCCAAGCAAGGGAGACCATCTCACCTTGCATCCATACTCAATCAGGAAGAGAATGATTTTGTGGGTCAATATGTTCTTTCGGTTTTCCCTGATTATCCTAAAATTGACACATGGTTCGGATACAATGACTTGGAAGTTGAGGGCAATTATTCTTGGTTGGATGGCAGCCCCGTTTCGTACCAGAATTGGCGTCCTGGTTTTCCTATTGGTGGTGCTTATGGAAATCAAGACTGCATCCTTATGTTTCTGGATAAACAATGGAAAGAATACTACTGCAGTCAAGCTATGCGCTCAGTGTGCAAGACGCCAAGCTACATACAAAATCAAGAAGCTGGGTCAAGATGCAACATGTAGACAAACAGTTAAGATATATGGCGTTACCGGAGGTGAGTTTAACAGACGCAAAATTAATCAGGCACAAAATTAACCAGAGATTCGCGCTTGTTGTTACAAACGCAGAGTGGTCGGGTAGATGACTAGTTTATGAAACACTGGCCAGTTAGGTTATGAATATGTTTATGTAAGAACAAAGGATCAGGAAATTCAATCCTTTCCTGGACAATCAATTGTTTTGTTTAAAAAATGTGTCTTTAACAGTGTGATAAATTTCAGTTAGAACATTTTATGTACACATACAAGTTATTCTGGCATGATAACATCATAAGTCAAACACGGGAAGTGAATACTGATTTAGTTCAGAGTGGATGTTCATCATGATGTATTCATAACACCAAACTTCAGGTTTGATGACGTCACAATATTTGGAAGCAAAAGGTGAACATTGTAATGGTATCGTTATGTGGGCTAAGATATACGACATGGATCAAATGATAGAATTAAATTTAAAATATGATCGTTGGAAAATTCTCATAGAAGTAACTTCCGCTCTGATGACGTCATCAATTTGAAACCTTGCCAAGTTGTCTGTGGTTAATCAAAGAATGCGATGCGATGCGATGCAAATCAAAGAATATCAAGGGGCGATTTGGTAAAATTTGAACAGATAGTTTTAAACTTAAAGAAAAGACACACTATTTTATGTGCCGCTAGGGGGCGGCCTTTCAGATGATGACGTCATCACACTGTTTTTTTGTGTCTGGCATTCCTTACTAAACACTTTCATAATATATATGTTTGTAGTAAAATGCTTCCGCTTTTTGAGTTATATTCACTTTTTATTGCACTTCCGGTAACACTGGAAGTAAAGGTCTAGCGGTTTTGTGTCTGGGAACACAAAATGTTTCTCACGGCATAGTCTACAACCTCACGAAAAAAACGACCACGATACTCTAGTTAGTTCAAAAGATATAATAACGCAAACTAGTTTGTCAAAATTTACCCTTAAATCGCTTGTTATTTGATACCTGATGACGTCATGATGATGTAACAAAATTTATAACATCTTCGTAACATGGTACAAGTTCACACAAGGTTTTATGATCATACCAGGCTACTTTCTTCATTCAATTTACCTAACTTTGACCTTCCGGTAGACTTGGAAGTAAAGGTCAAGCGAGTTCACGTACACGACAAAAAAATGTTAAGCAATGAATGGTCTATCTGATTACAGAATACAAACATCATTGATTATTTAGTTCAAGAGTAATAGGTGAAAGTAATTGCGCACTTTTTCAGATAAAATCACTTGTAATTTGACACCTGATGACGTAATCATGACGTCAGAGTAACATGCACCACTTCGGATCGGGGTCAATATATATTGAAAGTTACAAGTTCATAGTATACAGTATACCATTTAGGAGAAAACCCGCGGAGAAGTATTGTCCGGAAAAAAAAAAAAAAAAGATTAATCGTAACAAATCCAGACAGTGGTCGGGTTGTGCCCGACCACTCAATCATGACCAAAAATCTGTTCCCGTTTCTTTTTTTCGTTTGAAGCAACAAAAGTGCTCACAATCTAAAGAAGGGTGCTTAACAACTAACCTGATGAAGTTTTAGCTCAGTGAATGTCATATATTCCGAGAAAATAATATTCTAGGATCTCAAATTCCAACCTCTTGATATTTTTCATGTGAGGACAACACAGCAATTCGTTTTTGTTTGGGCCTTAAGCTAAAGTACATGTATACAGCACACAAGCTGCACACCTCACATCTTTATTCGTATAAGGACGCTCGGAATTTAAATTCCAATCAGCATCTTGGGTGACGCCTTTCTGACAAGCTCCGTAACACGATTCTCAAGAGAGTCCCCAGAGTTGTGGTTTCTCATACGTGCTAAAAAAAGTTCACAACCAATCTCATCTCCGTTGTTTTCCACATGGAGAAAGGAAATGAAAAACGTAAAGCGGCATCAATTACTTTAAAGTTCTTCCAGAGCTGTGGTAATTTTAAGACAATTGTATACGTGGAGAAAATTGGGGTGGGAGATGAATAAAGCACATATTTGATAGGAGATAATCTCAAGCTGAAGCAAAACCTTGGGGGGGGGGGATTCTAGCAAATGACAAAGCGAACTCTCGGTATTGGAAGTCTGTATTGTTTCGTAAACACCGGTAATTACTTGGAGGTCAGGGGTGTGAGTGACCTCTGACAAAAATAGCTGAAAATAGCTGGAAACAGCTGAAAAAGGTGTAAAAAAAACTGAACTTTGGAAATCTCCTATACTTTTGTACACAGCAAGTGAGGGAAAATAGCTGAAATCCAAAACAAAAAAAGCTGAAATCAGCTATAAAGCTGAGATTTCACACCCCTGGAGGTACTACTCACAGACTGACTGATTTCCTTCCCTCGGGAAATCTTTCTCAAAAACTAATCATGGATGTTTGTTTTTTTCACGTAAACTGTTTGTAGTCACGGACAAAGCAAAGGAGTTTGTCGCATATTCTGCAGAATGCAAGATTGACTGCAGCTAACATGCAGCGTCGTAACAGAATTACTGGTGTATGTGCTAGCCCATACTGTTCACAGTGCCTGTGAAGCATTCTTCAAAACACAAGTGCCATCATAAACTGCAGAGAAAACTACATGTATCTACCGTATTTTAGGACAGTTTGAATAGAATTTAAAAAGACTTAAAACCGTCCACTTACATGTACTAACAAATTGTCAACAGAAATAAACCCAACCAAAGATTAGTAATTTCTCGCAGACCAAAGGGACACATTAACAGCTTTGCACACCTGGAGGCTGTTACGTGGTTCTATCCAAGATAGAGGCTTGGAAAGACGACACATCAGACAGGATTCTGACTAACAACTGTGTATTCTGAACTCTTCCAACTGCATGTCTGGTTTACTAGCAACACATTATAGAGGGCGCTATACAGTTTTAGTGGTGTTGAGTAAACTCCTATATCCCAGACAGAGGCAAGCAGGAAAAAAAATGGAAGACTTTGGTCAAGAATCATACACTAATAAGACGGAAATCAATTCAGACTTTCCAACAAAGCAGGCATGTCTGTGGCTGCACCTTGGCAACGACTGCCCTGCTGTGCATTCTCAGTAATGCATTTTGCCTGATTGTGCTGCCACGGGTGGCCATCTCGAACGTCCAAACCTGTATCTTCATTGGCTGTCTGGCTGGGGCCAATTTTTGCACAGGTGGAATGGTCATACCAATGGTGGTTGCAACGGCACTTCCGGGCTGGCAGTATGGGTCCCCGGCTTCACACAAAACGCACACGTATCGCAGTCATGTATGCCAGCCAGAGCTGTGGTTTGACTTTTCTCGCCATACTAGGGGTGGACAGGTACCTAGCCATAGCCAAGCCCTTCAGGTACCAGACCATAGTGACCTGCAAGCAGGTTGGTGTGTACTTGGCTGTGGCTTAATAGTCGGAGGGCATTCCCATGTAAGCTACGCGCCCAAGTACACCATCTGTCAGATTGACTACCCAAACTTGACTGAAATAGCGAGAGCTCTGACCCTCGGCACTTTCATGTCAACAATGCTCGTCCCGCTGTTCCTGATTGCCATCAGCCAGTATGAGCTGTTTAAGATTGCCAGACAGCATGCACAGCGCATTGCTGTGCAACAGCAGCAGTTCCAGGGAGACATGGACCAGCAGAAACTGGACAACAAGGCCCTTAAGAGGCTCTTTGTGCTAAGAACCATCCTCAATCCAAAATTTTGAAACAGCGCCTACAAATTCTTCAAAATTGTCAGACAGTCCTACATGTACATCATCAATCCTCCAAAATCCTCCTCATCCCAAAATTTTGCACTCGTGTTTAAATGAAGGATAACCAATGCCTAAATCCTTAAAAATCATCAGACAGTCCTGCCTCAAAATGCATTCATCCTCAATCCTCCAAAATCCTCACATGTGCTTCAATCACCATTCATCCTCAATCCTCCAGAATCCTTATTTGATTCAATCACCATTCATCCTCAATCCTCTAGAATCCTCCAAAACCGCCAGGAGGATTTTGGAGCAGTGAGGTGGGTTAGGGTTAAATTAAGACGGTCCTCATCATAACTGCATGCTTCCTCCTGGCATGGGTACCAGTGATGGTCCTCGTCGGAATCAATCTTTTGACTGATCGAGCCTCCCCAGTTCCGGCCGTGGTGGTCCTGCTGCTTCAGAGGGTGCATCTGTCCTACTGCTGGCTGAATGTTGTAATTTACAGTTGGTATCTGCGAGTGTTCCGAGAAGTGGCCAAGAAGATTCTCTGTGCGTGATGCACTTTGCAGCTTAATATCTATGCAATTGGTTTTGCTCACTGCGACTAGCAATGAAACCAGAATACTCCAACTATAAATCGTCATCTTTGGGTCCAATCCATTTCAAGAGTTTGGCCAAGTAATTCAAATTGTAACTTACGATTAAGAATGTGACATTTACACATTTAAACCTTTAAATGACAAAAATTCTAAATCTGTTTACAAGTTTCCAAAAACGTTCAAACGAAACCTGAATTATAAAAAAAAAACAGAAAACAGTGTCTTCCTAAAATGACATCACAGCAACAGTGCTCTCGGTTGTCCAGAAAAGCATGGACAATTTTAAATATTTTAAGGAAGTGCACTTTTCAATAAAATTAACCAAAAAAGGAAAATCAAATAGTTTTCATGCGTTTCTGAGTAAAAAGTTGCACAAAATATGTTCTTAAGAAATATTCATCGCATTGACCCTTCAAACTACATGCAGTCCAAAAATCAAACTAAAAAACTGACTAGTCATTCAAAATGCGTTAAGAGTCTCATTCAAGACTTTGGAGTAGTAAAAACCTTCTGCAAGTAAATTTACTTTAAGTTACATTGTACATACATGTACATGTATGTATTACTGTGAAAAGAAGCCAATGTGGATGACAACAACTGATCTCTCCAAACTTGCGTTGACATGAAGAAAACATGTAGCCTTTGCTACTCATTTTCAAAGCCACAATG